CCTTCACAACGTACGAAGTACCACTACACTTTCAGGAGGTGTTCCACCTTTTCGAGAAAATTCGGCGGAAGGACTTCCGCGCACGGGCGCAGGTCGATATCCATTTTTGTGCTCTTCTTGAGACCAATTATTATTTGCGAATGGGCCACCCACCATTAAGATACATGTATACGTAAGTACGGAGTACGGAGTAGTACATAGAAGGGTAAGGTAGGGCAGGGCTGATCCCCTGCATCAAAAGCCCACGGAAGAGGCTGCCGGAGTAAAGGGCAAGATAATTCCACGGACCGCAGATGCGATGCATATGCAGACCAGCCTTGAAAGATGCTTTCTCAATGCGGTCTGAACGTGAGAGAGAAAGCCAGATCTAAGACGCGGGAGTGTACCATGGACCGGGATTTCCCCCGGATGCCCCTTCCACGATCCAGCCGATCGCATAGCCATTGACTCTGATGGTCTAAGAGACTATCATTGCTGAATAGTAGATCTTGATCATCGCAATTGTCTCAATTGCACTGACTATATTCGCACATACTCTGCCTCCTGTACGGAGTACGGAGTATTTCGTATCCATTCCATCAATTGACGCCGGCGGGGGTCAGTGTGAGTTCCATTTTCCATGTCCACTCTACGGCGCGTCCACGACCTGTCCCGTGCGACTGATGAACCTGTCTCAGGCCAACGGAGAGATATTGACCAAGTAGGCAGGTATGTACAGTAAGGAAAGGACATTATATCGTACATACCTGCGTATACGGAGTAGATGCCCCGTATGCTTTGGGTAATGAAAACCCACCACACTCAAATCTTCTGTGGAGTCGTCCTCCACCCTTCCATCGGAGGTCCTTCTCGACCAGGGAGCTGGAAGGACCTCGAAGGCCCCTCCCCAGTTCTTAGCGAAACTGTATTGAGATAGCGCGCACAATGGAGCCGTCAATCGTGAACGTGTGCAAATACACTTTCCTTTCTGCGAAATCACACAAACTTCCGGTAACATGTAGTCATCTGGTGGGGACTGTCGCAGGAGCGATAGTGCTGCTCCGTCTGTAGTCTCTGTTTCTTGATTCAAGATAACGAAGCGGTGAAGAATGAAGCCTAACCGAAGACAATTCCTCACCGACATCTCGACGAAACCGCTTGAGCTTCCAGACCGTCTAGATGGCCGTGGGGGTGTGAAGCTAAGGAGTTGTTGGGGGGATAGCGCCCCAGCCAAGGCCCGGCTGCTGGTGGGCATCGGCCATTAGCTCAGGGGCCGGTGCCGGGGAAGAGGTTCCTGAATTCCAGCAATGGCATTGGAGGAGGGGTGGAGTAGGGCGAGGTAGAGATTTGATTCGCAACTGGGTCGATTTCGATCCCTTTCGCAGATCCATTATTGGGCCGCTTGAACCTTCTTTTTTATTTATCCAATGTCTTTTGATGCGTGTGTGTCTAATTGAGTAATCCTGCTGGGGCTCTTGTTCCATTGACCGCCGGGATGGAATGGAATGAGACCCGAATGGTTAGTTCACCCCCTCTCCTCCCCCCATTGAAGGGATTGGGAATGGTGTGGATCGAGGATAATAGCTAGTGGGAGCTCCAGCGCACATCACGGCAAGGAATCAAGAAGCCCACTCCGCCATACCTGTTTAAGTAGCAATTAGCCCTAGAGAGGGACAAAGGTACCAGGGCGGTCAAGTCACCGCTGAACCGATGCACCGCGTCGTCATGGAGCGGTGGTTCCTGCTTGGGTCGAGAACGTTGAACTGGGTCGGTCCGCTGCATCGGGAAGTGGATCGGGCTCATCCTGCGCTTGAAAGCCTGGATTTCCTTTGCCCTGAAAAGCACAAGTTCCCCGGCTGACCGCTCTCCAGGTACATCCAATGGATCGAATGGAAGATTGAGGCAATCGATGATCATCCGGCGGTCCGCGGGAGTTGGCGAATTGAGCGTGTGGCGGGATTGGCTTCAGAGCAAACAAGGGGCAATCCGGGAGTATACATTTGATATGTGATTGGATATGCGAGGAAGGACCTATACATCGAGTTTCTCTGTACGCATTATGCTAGGCAAGTACACAGCTAGGTTGTATGTATGGCATTTTGAATGTGAGTTGAACGGAAAAAAGGGAGCGGACAAGGCCAAAGAATTCGACAGATGCAATTTTGATCTCGTAAATTGGATGTCTCGAGGGATCATCCATGCTGTGCCGTGGCCCCCCCCTCTGTACGGGCGCCACAGTGGACAGTCGCCAGACGCGTTCCCCAAGTAACCGCGTCGGTCCTCCGCGTCTTTCGATCTTCGCCAATGATGCAGTGCCCCACGGATCCGGGAAATCGCGAAAAAGTCAAGACACGGCCCTGCCGAAGGCCGTTTCTGCGGTGTACGTGACAGTGACAACTCACGACGCGACAAACGGGTGGACCCATCTCCGACAAGGTTTCTGTGGGAAGAGCCGACAGCAAAGGAAATAGGCAGATGCGGATGTCTTTCTTCTTTTTCCTTTTTTCTTTTTTCTGCTTTCTTTTTTGGCTTCCCACTGGGTCCCCCTCTCGCAAAAGAGGAACATCTTGAATCAGGTGATGTTATTCAACCCACCCTCCCGATTCGCGTGTCGCCCATGCAGATCGTCCTGCGGTCCAGCAGCTGATGTCTCGAGGACTCACTACGTAGCACGGACAATGGCCATCCCATCCACCCCCCTCCCCGGTCGCACAACGCACATCCCTCTTAGTTTCGCACTTTCTTTGAGCCACTTGTGATATGTGCATGAAATCCATTCACCCACGCAAGCGTGGCACAGCTCGAACCGCCACATAGCGGGGCGCCCCGAGATACATAATGTACGGTAGATTTCCACCCGGGGGGAAGAGAGAGTGATCTGTCAGGGGAGGGCTGAGACGACGGTAGCTAGGGTGGCGTTCCCCGTCAGACAGCCGGTGATCCCTGACTTGACCCTGGAAACATCCAATATCTGGCGGTCCTTGCCCCCCATCCATCCCACTTGATGTTCCCGGATTAGAGGGGTGGATTGATCGACTAAAGCCAGCTGCAACTACTGCGACGGCGTCGGGGGAATCGCCAGGATTTGCGGCGGAGCCGATCGAGACCTTGCCCCCAAGGGAGGCCCTAAGGTTCCCAGAATACCATCCCAATATTCAACCCAGTCGGTCTTAGCATGGGAATCATCTTTTACGAGAGGGGCTCCGGGTCCATTATTCAATTATCCAATTATTCAAATATTCAAATATTCAAATATTCAAAGTATTGTAGCGGGGTTCGCGGCGAACGAGGGCTATCAGAAAATATGCTAGGGAAATTACATCCCTGTTCATTCCCAACCCGGCTGCTTGCCATTTTGTCTTGCAGTCGGAACTGTGCAACTACGCGATAGAGCCAATCTGGCGTGCCGATCGCAAGTGACGGAGGGGGTTTTGACGGAGGGGTGAACCACGGTACACGCCGCGGATGAGGCGGGGTTATACAAGATAAAGATCAGAAGATCAGTAGATAGGTGCATATATACAGAGGAGATGGACGAATGCACAAGAATGGAGTCCTACGTTATATTGGAGATAGAAATACATACGGAGTACGAAGTACTTAGGGGATGCTCGTAGGAGTAATGGTGGGTTAATGGAAGACTCGGAGACTCTACGGAGTACGAGTCTGTACAGAGTACTCCGTATACCTGTAGGTACTCGTCCATGATGGCATCTCGCAGAGAACTCGGTACTTTGGTACTTTGGTACATTGGCTGCCACGATCGCACACTAAATCGCCTCACATGCCTGGCCAGCCACACATTTCCCACACATTTTCCCCTGCAATAAACAAAGGGCGACCATCTGCGAGCGAGGGGCCCCTCTGCATGGCCCACCAGCCCTCACAGCTCCCACTTTGATATTGCTTTTTATTTTAAATTTATTTTATTTCCAAAAATTTCATTTTTTGGGGAATTTATTTCCAACCTTTTTTTGATTTATTATTTCTTTTGAGAGATGTTTCATCTACCACAGGTCAATCTTCGGATGGAACACATGGAGTAGTAGTTGATAGGGGGAATCTGATTTCGACCAGTCAATAGAACATGTACAGAGTATGGTCTATATGGATAGACACGGGGCATATTATGACGATGAAAGATGTACCAGTTGGAGGGGTAGGATGCATCGATGTATTTCCATACTCCGTATATTTTGGTCGATCAGAGGATCTTCTAGAGCGACCCAACGCTCGGCTGAACCGAAATGATGGGTATGTACTCCGTCCAGAGAAGTTCAGTGTCCAGTTTTGAAGCCATGTGGATCCCCTCTTGGATCGGGAGTAAATCTAATAAACCATTACGACGTGTCGATTCTGTATGGTAAAAGGGGGGGCAAGGCGAATGCGCCCGTTCCGGTGGAAGAAGGAACGGGAAGTGCGTGGCCGCAGGTGAAGGACCCCAGCCCCCCTCTTTGTGCAGCACTCGGATGATGTATCTGGGCCGAGAGTTGGTCGCCCCCCCCCTCTCCGTAACCTCCGTAAGCGATGGTTAGGCCCACGGCCGACACACCACACCCCTCCCTGGACCCCAGCACTGACCAAGTCGTACTTGCCTAGTTGCTACTCGTACTTGCTAACTTGCTACTTGCCCGCCGCCAGTTGGTCCCCTCCTTCCGCTGTGTGCCCCCCCGTTCCCTCCCAGCCCAAATTCCTTTTCTCCTCACCCCCTCTCTTTCCTTCCTCATCCCACCTCCCCCTCTTCTTCAACCTCCCCCCCCTCTATCCGCGGTGTTTCAACGCTCATCCGCCTTTCTTTTCAGAGCGCTTCCTTTTTATTGATTTATTGTATCCGTGGCTGGATCACTTCCCTTTTGCGACCTCGATTCCCACAGTTCCCCCACCCAAGGAATGATCAGGCATCCCAACGAACTCCTGTCTTCGACACGCCTACAGAACCGGTGCGAGATCACCCAGGGGACAATACACCCGTCGACTTTTTCGATTCTCGCTTGAGACGATTCAGTTCGATTTTCACACAAATGGCTCCCTCAGCTCCCGGGACAGCCAGCAACTCGCCGGCCAAGAAAACCTCCGCGCCGGAGAAGAAGTACAAGTGCCAATTTTGCAACCGCGCCTTCAGCCGCAGTGAACACAGAAGCAGACACGAGCGATCCCGTAAGTCGTGAAGCTCTTCATCCTCTTTCTCGAGAGATCCCTTCCCCCCTCTCTTCCTCTCTTTCATCCCATCCTCCTCTTTCATCTCCCTCGCTAACCCACCATACAGACACAAAAGAACGGCCCTTCAAATGCTTAAAATGTCGGAGCACCTTTGTTCGCCGTGATCTTCTCCTCCGTCATGATCGTACCGTTCACGCCAAAGATGGTGGAATCCCCCTCGTTGCAGAGGGGCGCAGACGCGGTGGAGGGGTCCAGAAGTCCTCTTCATCGGGACCTTCCAAGCCTTCGATCACCATTGATCCGGCGACGTTGGAACAGATTGAGGCAAGCAGTGATGGTATGGTCGACCTTGAAACTGCAGCCATGTTGATGACAGATTTCCAACATAAGGCTGCAGCAGCGGCGACGACGACGCAGCAGCAACAGGTGTCCGAGCGATCCGAATCCCTTTCCCCGGGTCGTGGCTCTTTCGAGCCTTACCTTTCCGGCAACGCGACCTTGCCCCAGATGCCTTGGGATACGCTCACTTCCCCCACGGATACTGGCTCGATGCCCACCCTCGTCGACCGCCATGGCCCCGTCGGAGACGTCCTCCTTTCCAACTCGATGCCCATGTCTGGCCACTCCACCCCGAATGCCCTTTCCCCGTATCCCTCTATGACCGGTCCTGTGAGCCCTGTTAACTACCGTCGTTCACCCGGTCCTAGCCAGGCCTTGACCCTCCCCCGGGCTCCTCAAATTGCTGACGAGATGGAGCGGAACATGGTTGTTGAGCGTGTTCAAAGCGCTGACACCCTCGGTGCTCTGCCCGAGACATTCCAGCTGCCAGGTACAGTTGCATTGAACCGGTACCTCTCCACCTACTTCAACCTGTACCACCCTCATCTGCCCTTCCTTCACCAGCAGTCTTTCAACCCAACTACTGCCCCAGCCCCGCTCCTGTTGTCCGTTCTCTCCATTGGCGCTCTGTACACCTTTGAGCGTGAACATGCTTTCATGCTGCACGTTGGCTCCAAGGTCCTCGTCAACCAGTTCCTGCAACACAAGGAGAACTTTGATTCCCGCAAATGTCCTCTGTGGTTGATGCAAGGTAGTCTGCTCAATATGGTCTTCGAGAGCTGGAGCGGTGACCCCAAGGGTCTCGAGTGGACTTGCTCCATCAAGAGTCTCCTGGCCAACATGGTTGCTGGTAACCGTTATCAGCTGAAGGTTCGCACTGAGGCTCGCCAGGGAATTCAGCCCTCTCGCGAGGAGTGGATCGAGGATGAGTCTTGCCGTCGCACCTATTTCGCAGTCTACATCTTCTTTGGCATGCTCACCTTGACCTTCAACCACACTCCCGCAATGAGCTTCGACGAGTTCGACAACCTCGAGCTGCCTTCGTCTGAGTCCCTTTGGAACCTTGATCCATCCGACGAGGATTCATGGCGCCGCGGTGTGGCCAGCGGCACTCTCACTGTCCGCGAGGCCCACGACTTCCTCTTCCAGGGTGAACAAACTCGCTACAGCGCTTTCGCGACTCGCGTTCTGATCAACGCTCTGTTCTTGCAGGTTTGGAACCACAAGCGCAGCTTTGAGGCGCTGCAAGACGTCGTCACTGAATATAAGCTGCGTCTCGCTCTGGAGACTTGGGAGAGCTCCCTCGAGGTGTGCGAGTCGGAGACCATTGTTGTCCCGCTTAGCACTCCTCAGAAGGGCCACCCCTTGATCTTTAACTCAATGGCCGTCTACCGTAACACTCGCGCCCGCCTGGAAGTTGACCTGAAGTCCATCCAGGAGGCCATGCGTTACCACTCGTCCTACGAGGTCGCCGCTGCCATGACCGTTGCCCGCGAGAAGGTCAAGCGCTCTCAAGAGATGAACAAGGTTGTTCAGCAATGCTTCGAGTGCATTGAAATTGCCGCTCTTCAAGGCATCAACTGGGTTGCCAAAACCTCCGCCACTAACTGGAGTGTCGAGCACCCTCTGTGTGGCCTGGACCTGATGGTCATCCTGAGTCTCTGGCTCTACCGCCTGGAACATGACGACGAGCCGGCGACTGAGGCTGAGATGGCTATTTACAACAAGGTCCGCAATCTGTTTGACGATGATGCCATCGACGCGTTTGGCAAACTCAGCTCCACCGTCGCCCGTGTTTGGGGTAACATCCTTGACGGCGTGGTTGTCTGGGGGGTAAGTTTCTTCACCAATTATTCTATGCTGAATCTTTACTAACAATCATATTAGAATCACCAAGTTGATGGGCGAGTCATTCAAGCTGCACTCCCAAGCCTTGGTCGGCTATGAGGACTCTCTTCGTGTCGGCAAAGACCAACCGATTCACGCAGTGCCTACCAAGTCGCTCGCCAGCGTTGGTACCGCGTACTGAATTTTGCGCCAGAATTTTTGATCGACATTTCTTTTGTCTTAACGCATTCATCCTGTTTTTTTCGGGCTTTCTTACTCTCATTTTCGGACGCTTTCATTGGGACACATTGGGAAATCAGGAATGGACACGTCAAGGGGTAAGGCGGGGTGTTTTTGGTTCCGTCGAGGAGCCTCTGGGCGATTCCTGACTTTTCATGCTATTTTGGGTTGCATCTTCTCTTTTTTTTACCCTGACCTTTTACATCAGGGAGTCCGGTGCGGTGCTTTGCTTTTTGTGTTTCTCGTTCGACACCCGGCTGGTCCTGTGTGTTCCTCTCGCACTCGATGGAGTTTTCTCGTTTCACTTTTAGCCCCTAATTTGTGCCCCCTCGTCCGTTTGCTTTGATCTCTTGATACCTTTTGATATTTTTTCCGTTGCTTTTTTCTTCTTTCTTCCTCTTCTTATTTTGATCTTTTGTTCCCGCGTTGATATTGCCTGACTTGATTCTGATTCTTGTGGCCGAGGCTGCCTCGGTCGCTGTATTTGATGTTTAATTGCACGTGTTGTCTGCTTTCTCCCCGCCTCGCCAAGCTTGCTTATTTTTGTTCTTTTCATGTCTCCGCTCAGCATTTGTTCGCGCTTGATTTCACCTGCACATGTTTTGATGCCTATTTCAATGTACTATATACGTAATCGATGAATACACATTTGGCGGGGAAATTTTCACCTTCAGTCCGTAGTCGTAGTTGTAGTTGCCCAAAGGTGTAAAATTATTGTAAAGTGAACCTTGGAAGAAACTTGAAGTACTGAATCTTAATGCATGGCGACTACTGTGTTGTCCGTACTTATATGGCATACTCTCATTTAAAGAATTCAATATACTTGTAATACCAACATTGGAAGAAACCTTTCTATTTCCCAATTGCCACAAACAGCCGGTCTCCAATATCTCCCACACCAGGCACAATCATTCCCTTCTCATTACACTTCTCATCAACGGCACCAACCCAAACCTCGACACCATCCTTCCACACCTCCGCCGCCCGTTTCACGCCATCTTCCGAGCCGAGCACACTCAACATAATAACCTTCTTAACACCCCATTCCCGCAGCAACTGGATAGCTGCTTCTGCTGTAGCACCCGTGGCAATGATGGGATCTAGCAGGACGGCGAGAGTGGAGGCGGCAGTGTTGGTCGTGGGATCGAGAGAAGCGGGCGAGGCGGGGGAGAGCTCTGATCGGTGGAAGGGGAGGTTGTTGTAGTATTCTACGGGTTGGAGGGTGAGTTTCTCGCGGAAGAGGCCGAGGTGGTAGATTGGGACTGCGGTGGGGAGGAGGTCGTTTAAGGCTGTGAGGGAGAACAATGTAAGCTTTCTATTTGGCGTGTAAGGGGAGAGGGGGGTTGTGGATGTTGAGTAGCTGGAAGCTGGTAGCTAGTAGCTAGTCGAGGTAAACTGACCATCAACCATGCCCAATCCTGAACGGAGAATGGGCACCAGTGCCAGGTCTGCTGGGTCGATGCCCTGTGTTTCGTACTCGACTCCCAGCGGTGTGCGGTCCTGTAGTAGCAAAGCATCAGCATAGCTCTCCTCCCTCTCTTTAATACCTGCTTTGCTTGGTCTTGATCTTACCGTTCCAGTCTTGGTAAGCTTTAGTCCATTTGCAAAGGCCTCAACGCCGAGAATGGAGGCAATCTCTTTGACTAGATCCCTCGTCTCGCGGGGAGAGGTGCTCTGCGAGCGTAGCTGGGACAGCTTTGCCTGGAGGCAAGGGTGGGAAGAGATATGAACATTGGAGGGTAGCGGCATGGTGAATGGGTTGGAAAGAGGAGAGGAGAAGAATGGGCAATAGAGGATGAGGGGTGGGGGACTGGGGGGAAGTATAAAGATGGGAGGTGGCTATGGGAAGGGAAGGAGGGGTTGTCTCTTATCTGCGGTGTGACGGACTTCCCAAGCTTCCCCTCTTGCAGGATCGGATCCTACCTTGCGGTATGGCTCACTATCCCTAATACTCAAGGGTTGACCTCTGGGGTTTAGGCTGAAGGTCCTTTGGATCTGTCTATTATCTCATATGTCATCCCAGGATGTCACTGTCTTGTTTGAATGCCAAACATCCACGATAGGGGACATATGCCCTCCCATCATGGGGATATCTCCAATGTTATCCCCAACCATGGATCCAACCATCCCCAGATCCGTTGTTAAAAAGCAAAACCCCTCCAGTCCACGCCATCCCCAAGCACAGAGCTCCAGCCGAGCCAGGCTCGATGTGACAGTGGAGGAATGCTATCGGCGATCCTACCAGCTTATCAGCTCCAGCTCCACCGCGAATCCACTACCCACTTTTTCCCGGCCGACCTTAACCTCAATATCTTCAACTTCACCATCTCCTCCTGGCAGACGCCATGCCTTCCAAGGCCAGTCCCACCGACCCATCAGCTCCCCTCGAGCTGAATCTGGGCCACCAAGACAGCGCCGACCCCCCTTTTAACAGAAACAACCTGCCCACAACCCGTCGAGCCCGTCTCCTCCCAGCGTCAACAATGGCACGCCGGTGCGACAGCAGAGGCAACGACCGAGGTTAAAGACGAAACCGCGCGCACACCCTCTCCAGCTCCAAGCCTCCTCTCCCCACACGCAACCCACCTCTACACACTCTCCTACCTCGTCTTCTTCTCTATATTCGGCACCCTCGCCCGCCTCGGCCTACAAGCCTTAACATTCTACACCGGCGCGCCAGTCGTGACAGGCGTCCTCTGGGCAAATGTAGGCGGCAGTCTAATAATGGGCTTCCTAGCCGAAGATCGCAACCTCTTCCGCGAAGAATGGGGTCGCAAACCCTCACCACCGCCCAAGGACAGCACCGAAGCAGCCGAGCAGAACAAAAACCACAAAGCCGTCAAGAAAACCATCCCGCTCTACATCGGCCTCACAACTGGCTTCTGCGGTTGCTTCACCTCCTTCTCATCTTTTATTCGCGATGTCTTTCTCGCCCTGGCAAATGCTCTCCCGGACCCCTCCCTATCGGCCGCCGGCGACGCCATCGCATCCCGCAACGGCGGATATAGTTTCATGGCGCTGGTCGCGGTTATACTCATAACCGTCTCGCTGAGTCTATCAGCCTTAATCTTCGGCGCACACCTTGCCCTCGCACTAGTGCGATTCACACCAACAGTGCCCTTCAAACTGACGCGGCGCGTACTAGATCGCGTAGTCGTCGTCCTGGGCTGGGGCTGTTGGCTCGGAGCCGTATTTATGGCTATCTGGCCGCCGGATCGAGGGAGCGGTGGTGTCGAGACGTGGCGTGGTCGTGCGGTGTTTGCTTGTGTTTTTGCGCCGGTGGGCTGTTTATTGCGATTCTACTTGTCGTTGCATTTGAATGCTCGGATCCCTGCATTCCCGTTGGGGACGTTTACGACTAATATCTTTGGCACGGTTATTGAGGGGCTTTGCTATGATCTTCAGCATGTTAGTGGGCTTGGTGCTGTGGTTCCGGCTGCTTTGACGGGGTGTCAGGTTTTGCAGGGTGTCATGGATGGGTTCTGTGGGAGTGCTACGACGGTTAGTACGTGGGTTGCGGAGCTGAATGGGTTGTCGAAGAGGCGGTATGCATATATGTATGGGATTACGAGTGTGGTTGTTGCGCTTGGGTTTTTGATTGTTATTATGGGATCGTTGCTTTGGACGCGTGGGTTTGCTGAGGCGGTTTGTGGATGATGTGATGTGATGTGATGAAGTGATATCCTCGTCCAACTCAATGTACAATATATCTAGATCGATACCCTAATTATGATAGATGCTGCCATGATATACTCATTTCCATGATCAGGCAACTGAGCCAACATTCCTCCTCCTGCCTAGAGTCCTGGAATATCAGGCCTATCAATTTCATCAATCACAGAAGATCTCTCCCCCACAACCCCTGGGCCAGAGGTACCTGACCCAGCTCCAGACCCGGACCCAGCCCCGAATCCAAAATCAAACCCTTCACCACCGTGACCATTCCCATTCCCATTCCCATTCATCCAGCCGTGACCTTGACCCTGGCCCTGACCAGAACTCCTCAGTCCCATCTCCATCCCATGAACCGGCAACTCAGCCCGATCCGTAGGAATAGCATACCGATCCAACATTTTCTCCGCAATTCGCTCGCTTCGCCCATGGGAGACTGCCGTCGGGCTCCCAAGGAGTCGGGTATCTGCCGCGGGCGCTGTACGACTGTGGAAAGCTTTGCGACGGTCGAGATCCTGAGCGAGGTTTTTACGTTGGACGACTTCATGATATTTTGTTAGCCCGGGCGTGATCAAATGGGGTGGGATTTGGGAACAGCCAGGGGTATGTGTATGTACAACATAGGTGGTGGTAGATTGTATACTGTGTGTATAACTAGATGGGGGCGGGGGGGTATGGAAAGTAGCAGAATGGATGTCTACCATAAGAGGCAATACTCAAGGTGCTCTTGATCTAATACATACCCTTCCAAGCGAATGTGTAAATGGCCATCGTCACCAAACCAGCCCCAATAAATGCAAACATAATGCCTAACTCGCGGCCCAGCGAGGACATGGGCGTTGAAGGCGGGTATTCGATCGCCATGGAGAAACTCGGAATCGGGAACAAACTTGTAGAACTTGACCTCGCTGTTTATGGAGCAGAGTTAGGTAGAGACTCTCTTGCTGCAATTAAGGATAGGTGTAGAAGTGTCAGATTTCCGATTCACTCTCCTGCAAAGACGTCAGACGTAATCTGACTGCGGAGAAGTGGAGAGCCCAAAGCCGGGCGTTAAAGGCTAAAGGTTGGGGGCGGTTTAGGTACTTCTGCACCCGTTTGGACTTGGCCTGGGCTGATGGGCGTCAGCGGTGTGCTGGTTTAACGTAAGAGGGACGGTGCAAATGCTTTGCTGTGTCTTACAGTGGCTGAGGTATCTGATAATTTGGTTCGACTTACTATGGGACTCGATAGGTACTACTAGTAGTAATTTAAAGATACGGTAGTATGAAGTGGGTTGGAATAAACAACGAGGTGCGCCAGCCGCAGCCGTTCGCCGTGACAAAGAACGAGGTTGGTGCCCACTGACAGGTGGGTGGCTTGGGAGGCGTCAATAGTTTAAGAAATATGCCTTGAAATGTAGACCAATATACGCCACATTCATTTCCGGTCAGTTCGATATGAGGCCTTACACACTCCGTACTACGTGGGATTATAGCAAAAAAAGTAATAATATGTATGAATGTGATGAATTCATTTGTACACAGGTGATCAATCTCGTCCAGTATACACAAAAAGGCTCCAGGTATCATGTACAACATGCAGCTCTATACTCCGCTAAGCGGGAATGCAATGTGCTCAGAAAAAATATGATGAATGCCCACGCCCGATGTGACTGGGTCGTGGATGCAGAATAGCTCAAAAGTCGCTGAAGAAGACTCAAATGGTTGAAGGTAGGGAAGGGTAGAAGAAGGGTGAAAGGTAGATGTAAAAGGTGAAGAGAAGGAGGTCGACTCAAGATCGGCCGAATTAAATCGAGGTAAGTTCGGGGTGCGCGTATTCACGTGTCATGTCGGTAATGTTCAGAATCGAAGAGGTTGAGGAGGAAGGAAATGAAAGCAAAAATCGAGTAATCATGGTGGACGGAAATAAAGGTAGAAGTAGCCTTTCATCGACACCGTGCAGGACTAGCCTAGCATGACGGCCGCAAGAGCAGTGCAGGTCAATCCGATGGCACATCCAATCCACGGAGTTTGACCGAGGGAGCCCTCACTACGCGCCTGCACCACATGCCTCGCGCTGCGACGGGTGAGAGTCGTATCCAAAGGATCAGCAAGAGGCACAAGCTGTTCGCGTGGAGCAAATTCCGGTATTGATGCGACGGCGGAGCGTTGCGCGAGGTCCGCGATAAGATCGTTGGCGCGTGGCTGCGGGTGCGGTTGCGACTCGGCGAGGACGGCCGGAGCGAGGGCCACGAGGAGATAGGCAGGCCTCATGGTGTGGATTGTTATGTGCGCGGAACAGTGCGTATTTCAAGGGGACTCGCGTTGGCCGGGCGAGGGCCTTGGAGGAGGGGAAGTTGCGAAACAAGCAACGCCAAGGAGGACTGTCGTGGAGATCTTGCGAATTGCGAGTTGGCGAGGCAACCGGTGGAGTGAGACGTGATGCAGGTGCTGTACAGTATGAACACGCCGGAGGAGATGTAGCGGTCGTGCTGGGAGAGGAGAGATATATATGATCAGGCCCGATTGGAGGGGATGGATATCGGGTAGGTTGGTGGTGGTGGTGGTGGTGGAGGAGGTTGGTATTGTGGGAATAGGGGGGCCAAAAGTCGAAAAACAAGACGAGGGGGCAGAGCCTCAACGGACACAGCAACGCAGTCAGCAAAGAAGCGAGGCCAAGCGAATGTCGTGAGGAGTGGAAGTCCTCTGAAGGAGAGAAGCACAAACAAGAGCACAAACAACCTCCCAAAAAACAGGGAGTCAGGGAAAAAAGCGAGATTAATATGCCGTGAATGGAGTAGCGCGGGTCTCAACCGTGGAATCGGCCTTGGTTCCTGTGGGGGGGGATGGCACACTTTATTCTCTGGCCTCTCATTGGTCAACTCTCGGCAAGGTTCCTCCTTCCCCCGTTGGCTTTGGATGGTGCGACTTGGAGAGAGAGAAGATCTTGGCACTTGCTCTCCTTGTAACCAACTCCGCCTTGTTGTTAGAGACCGGCCTGGTTCCCGATACACTACTCCCTGCAATCATCACTAATGACGCATCTCGCCATTAAGCATGATCCTATTCATGACCTCCCAGCCTGATTTAGATCTGCCCACCCTCGACTGAAGCCTGCTCTCCTCTCCTCTCCCTCCTCTGCTCCATTGACCCACCTGTCGATCGCAACGAAAGACCCAACCAACAGTGGGTCATAAAGTCCAGACATCCCGACGGCAAGCCGTGATGTGATGCAAGGACGTGCGAACGGCCGGGCTCTCGACCTCTCAGGGGGGGGGGGGCAGGGGGGCCCCCTGACTGTGGCCGCTACCCAGCTGTGAACTGCTGGTCGCGAGCTTGCTGCTCGGTCTAGCAAGCTGCTGCAGGTGCCCTCAATCAAGCTCTGACTCCGACCGGGGCTGGATTTCTTGGCTCGCCCATACCATAGGACGCTATACATAGAACACGCCTCCAGGTGCAGCTTGCATTCTAGCGGTGCTTCGCCATCATCACGCGGTGTCGCAGATCTGGTTGGATCAGCATTCCGCGTGAGAGTTGAAATCACTCTGTATATTGCTTTTCTATTCTGGTATTCGTTAGACCTTGAGTATTGACTTTTACTCCGCACGAGACAACGTAAATGTCTCACCAGCTTACATATTAGTCATTAGAACGGTAAACCTCAGGCTCTATCGAGATATCAGATCTCTCATTAATTAGAGTAGGAAAAAATCGTATGTCCAGCGAATGAAGGTGTGGTTGCAAGGCAATCCTCAGATATCCATAGTCTATCATCATTTCTTTTATTCATGCGTCTTAGACGCTATCAAAGCTAAAAGAGATCATCAAAGCATATCGTCCCAGTTCGGCATCACAGTGAACTTGCCGCAAAGCTGACCCATGGACCAGACCCGGTTCTCCTCTTCTTCTTCTTCTTCTGCCTCCTTCTTCACATCAGGATCATCATTTGATGAGGAAACAATCAATGCCTCCTGTACAAAGTCCACCATTGCTGCCCGATCAAGCTCAAAGCTAACACCGCCCCAGTCCATAGTAATGCGCCCGGACTTGTGAACATTTAATTTGCCCACCTTGCCAGCTGGCAGGGACCAATCCGTAGCAGCTGTGATGATTTTAGGCGTCTCGGTCTGAGGGAGAGCATCAACGTCCGTGATTTCAACGTCGCCCTCGGGCTTGACCTCATTTTGTGTGTCGTTTGCCCCCGGGGCTGTCTCGGAGGCTTGCTCTGCAGCCGGCTCTGCAGCCGGCTCTGCAGCTGGTGGGTTTTCAGAACCAGGAACGATGAGGTTGGGCGTCATAGGTGGGAATTGCATGAGGAAAAGCTGGCCCACGAGGTTCTTCGGGGTTTTGTCCTCTTCCGCTTCTTGCTTTTCGCTCTCGTCTTGGCCCTCCGTGGCAGTATCGGTGTCCTCATCGGCAGCAGGAGTCTTCTCGGTGGTGGGTTCAAGCGTTGCTGTTTCCGTCGACACTGATTCTGGGCTTTTCTCTGGCTCATCTTCGCGGAAGAGTTCGCGCACATGAGCCAAATCGTCCAGATGACGGTCGTATTCATCAATCTCCTCCTTGGTGCGGAGGAGTTCTCGCGGGTCTCGTTTCACCTTCGGGGTCTCTGGAGCCTTAGCCTTTGGTTTCACGGGGGAGGATTGGGGATCCGAGACCTTCCTCCGCACGCGCACCTTTTGTTGGGGGAGGAACCCATCATCCTCTACTGGTACCACATCTGGCATTGTTGTGTCCTCGTCGACGGGCTCGGCCTTGACACGAGGTTCTTCCTCTTGTTCCGGAGTGACTTCTTCTCCCTGTGCGATCTTGGCTTCTTTCTCGGCCTTCTTGCGCAATTCATCCGTTCGAGCTGTGCTGGACTCCATGTTCACAGAAATAGTTCGCTCCTCATGTTCAAGTCGCTGCACACGAACAGGCTTCAGGCCCCTAAGCTCTGGATCCCTACTACGGGCAGGCAGCTTGCCTTTAGCATCCTTGGGCAAGTCCGAGTCCGAGTCATCAGAAAGACCGATTTGATCAATGCTAATGCGAATCCCGCTTTCACCATCATCATCTGAGTCGTAGTAATAATCATCTGCGGGGGGTCTGCTACCGCCAACACCAGCGCTAAACACAGAGCGAGTCTGAGACCGGTCGTAAGAGCGCGGTCCAAACGAACTCCCACCACGACCTCTCCGAGCGCCGCCCTGAGGTCCAAATCCACCTGTACCAACAGGCCCGCCACGACCACGGAAAGCCCCGCGACCTCGGCTACCACCTCGCCCGCGCTGAATGGCAGCCGCTTCCTTCAATCGCTCATTATGCCGTTCCTGCTCAAGCTTCGCCATGGCATCTCGATCTTCTTTGCTGCGGCGCTGAACACCCTTCTTCGGCTGGTACTTGAGGACCGGTTTCGCTGGCTCGCCGGGGAGATTCGAGAGAGATCGGCCTGTGGCTGGAATGCTTCCGGAAGACTCGCGTTTCTTCAAGGATTGTAATCGCTGTACAGGTTGTCGGCCGGTAGGGGCGGGTCCATTTTGAGCAGAGGGAGCGTCGGCAGCAGCTGAGGCACTGCCTTCAGCCTGCTCTGATCGTTGGGCGGCAGGCCGTCGAGCAGCCGGTTTGGGAGGCATAATTGCTGTCTCGGTGCAAGCAAGACGCCGTTGGCGCCCCGCTACTTAGGGCAAGGTTTTGTCGGAGAAACTTTCTAGCGCATAGGCTGGTTATTTGGGCGTATCAATTTGGGAGCTTTGATTGAATCGTCAGAAACAATCTCAGACAGCGTAGAGTGACTTGTTATGTTGAAACGTGAATTCTAGCAAAAAGTCGAGCTCTTCATCCGACTCAAAAATGTTGCGGGGCCTTTACACCGCCTTGGTCACGTGGTATTCTCTATCACAGGTCAGACAGACGTTATCGGCCAGGAATGAACAGTAATCGCAGGCAATATTGAGTGGGAGTAGTGAAAATGATGGTTGATCGAATTTCCCTCTTATGACATCAATTTCACGCAATTGGAACGCTCGCTTGTACTTTGCAATATCTGAGTTTGTCCAACTCACCTCACCTATTCGAGTCTGACCCGGCACGTGAAATGACAAAAGTCTGTTTGCACATGTCTGAAAGTACTTTGCAAGGGAATTGACCTCGATGTACTCGCAATGCTCAGGTTCTAGAGAAAGTCGAGCGGAATCCAAAACTCCGGTCTAGACTCGGGCGAACTTGACCTTTTGTTCCAGTGGGTGCTACAGGAGGCGCTTTGTCGCACACTACCATCACACCGATGGCGGTGGCGTGGACTACTAGGTACTAGTACTAGTAGGCTGTCTCAACAGTCCAATCTTGCAGGTCATATTTCTTTGTCCAAATTTTCGTACGAGTATATCTACCCTGGCCTCCCGAGGTTAGAGCATACATAAAATATCCAGCCAATGATATGCAGGCATGTGCTTATCCCTTGATTTGCCCGCCCGTTCACCGCTGATTGAGTCACGTGATTTGGGTACGACCAGAGCATAAGTAGTGAATGTGAAGGATAAGTTGGAAGTCTGAATTAGACAAAAAATAGACAATGAAACTGATAGAAAAAAACACAATTCATTCCCAAGCTACTACTCATAAAAAAAACAAAAGCCCATGGCATCTTATACAACATCGTGCGACCCCTTGGGTTAACTGGCCCATTCCGGAAGTATATATCTCCCAGTGTTCGGTCAGTATAAAATCCCACCCACCACAAAACAAAAAAATTTGACATGAAATTAGCAAAGATGCTCAAGGGTTTTGTAGCATTGAGTTTGAAAGAGTGAAAATGGATGTGACAGAAGAAAAGACAAATAGCCGCAAACACGAAGAACGCCGAATGGACACAGACAACAGATCAACCCGCTGGACTTTGTATAATCAAAATTCGGGAGCAGTGGCATGAAGCCCGGAAAGAGAGCGTGTCAGGGTAGGAGGTATAAGGAGTGTCGGATACTCGGCAGCCAGAGTAATATCAAAGGAGAGATAGAGAGGGAGAGATGGTGTGTTGGTGAGGTGGTACCAACACTGATGCCATGGCATGCCGAGTGGGATTGGAGGTTGAAAGAGGGAGAGTATTTAATTGCGGGATGACAGAAGTGGGGTCATCTCCTCTCAGTGAGAGAGCCTGACAGGCAGAAGGAGAATGACCAAGATGCACAACTAGCGCTTTCGCTTCTTGTTGTCCACGCCTACCAGCGGTGTGTCTGGCATCGGCGGGAACTCATGCTCATGCTCATGGCTGTGGCCGTCGTCTGAGAGATCTTCTTCTTCTTCGCCATCGCCGTTTTTCTTGACCGGGACACCCATGTGGCGTCCATATCGGCCTTTCCGACCATTGCCCTCGTCCTCGCTGACGCAGCCTTCGATGCCGATTCCGGCATCCTTGCAACGTCCACACGGACGTTGACGATCACAGCCCTTCTTGCTCTTACGGCAGCGTTGGCAGCGAGGCTTGGTAGAGAGATCCTCTTCATCTGCTCCGAGCTGGTGCTGAAAGTTGACGGAGCCACCGGAGACCTTGCGGGCAGAGTTGGGGCTGAGAGGGGCAACAGGCCCAGCTGGTTTATCAGAAGGCTTGCGAGAGACAGGCGCCGCTGCATTCTTGGTCTTGATGGGCTTTGGCGCAGGCTTACTGCGAGGCTTGATAGACATTGGGCGGCTCTTGGGCTTTTTGGCCTTGGGAGCAAACTCCTTATACAAGATGTCATCCTCGGCTTCGCTCTTAATGCCCTCATCGGCACCGTCAGAACTGTGGTCACTGCTGTCAGCACTGGGAAGGATGTCATCCAAGCGCTTGTGATGGCGCTTGATGGTACCCGGCGGAAGCATGGGACTTGACTCAAGTCTGCGACGGGCAGGCAGGTCATCTTCGTCCTCGCTAAAGTCCTCGCCTTCGCTGGTTGCGCCAGTGGAAGAGGCGGCGTCGGCAGCGCCACTGAAAGCATCGTCCAATGTTGACGCCGAGGTGCGGCCATGAGAGAAGTTGGAGGCATCGCCGAGGCGGATTAGCTGCATAGCGACGTCCTCGTCGGAAATACAGCTGGCGATAGTGGGGTCTGGAGTAGGCAGAATGCCAGGACCACTCACTCGCGGAGCAGAATTGCTATATGGTACACGGTGCGCATGGTCTGGGACCATAGGCGTCGCATATACACCATTACGTGCTGATTGTACACCATATTCACTGTGGCCATAGCTTTGTGGCGACGGCAGCGCTTGCTGGAAGTTGTATGGGCGGTGGGTAGGGCGAGCAAAAGGTGAGCCGGCACCTTCTTGGCCGATGGAACGACGTTGAGGAGAGATAGAGGAGGTAGAGGTAGTTAGAGGGACTTGTGGAGGAACGAAAAGTGGGAGTTCCTAAAATGAAGAAACTTGTTAGTCGAACAAGCGAAGAAAAAAAACCTCAGCGCACAAGATTGATCACGCTTACCGAACTGTCAAACTTGGGACGTTTGCGACGACCATCTTGTAGTATATTCTCCATACTTATTTCAGAGCTAGCGAAGGCGTCGCCGCGAGACCGGCGGGATAAGCTTCCTTCGCTGTCGCTTAGGCCGTCATCATCAGGGAAGCCAGCATGGCTCGAGCCCCGACTTTTGATGCCGTTACGAGAGACCGACTTGTGCTGAGAGGCGCTGCGAAGGCTTCGGTTAGATGGAGAGGCACTGCGATTCCTTGCCAGCCGCGATGATGGTCGCGGTGGCTGTTCAAGGATTGGTGCAACGCCATCGGCCATCTGAAAAGGTTCGCCTAAGCTGGGTCGCTTGCGCTCAACGGAATAACCACCGTAAAATTCACCATAGGGTTGAATGGGAATGACTCGAACATATACTGTTCCGTTACTCTTGAGGTTTTCATACCTTGCGATGAGGGTGATTCCATGTTCATCCTCGAAGCTCACCCCACTGGCGGTGCCGTCGTAGATGCCATAGAAATTTTTGACCGTGGTCACGATGGAATCCGTCGTATCATGAGGGTATATTTGAACGCGCATGGGGATACGGGCTCGAACCTTGGAGTTCTCATCCAATAGTAACTCGAAGGCGACGTTCTTGGGGACGGGGCCCTTAAGCGACAGGTCCCGGGATGAGCCATCCACAAGAACCGGTTGCTCTGCGAAGGCAGAGAGCGCATCATGGTGGACCGCTTGCATGATGGGCAGGTCCGGAATGATTACGAGTCCCCTGCTGCTATTGCGATGACTGCATCAACCCACTGCTTCTGTGTGATAGAGGGCGGCTAGACGGGAGGATGGGATCCATGACCAGGAGGACATAGGAAAGGCTTGTGCAAGAGGGGAATTCCATCGAACCTACCACTAATATAGGAATCGAGAAGATTGGCAGGTGGATGGACCACCCCCGGGTTGTTGATGGGCGAAAGTGTTGGCGCAGGGCTTTTCGATGGGGATGGAGGGGAATCTGTTGTCGCAAGAACCGAGAACGAGCCGGAAGAGGAGGAGTCGGTAAACCTAGACGAGAACCCACCACGAGAGTCAGCACAATGCTAGTTCCGATGTTCTCAATCATAACAGGGATGGATTTGACGACTTCAGGATGGACAGAGGTCTGTTTGCTAACCGAGTCCGACCACGACCAACCTTGGGAGCAGGCGACACGGGGGGGGGGGGCACGACGAGAGCAGACTCGGAACAGGATGGGGAGCAGCGTTGACGCACCTAAGACAAACCAAATAGTATCCTTCACAGTCGCAGATATCCGAGTGATCAAAGACCGAGCGATAGGGTGATCGATGGGCGATGTTGGGCGGTGGGCGAGGAGATTGTCGTCGGTTCTCTCTCTGCTCTACGAAGCGCTGCGGCTAGGTCAGCGGTGGCCCTAGGTAGGCGGAGGCCTGGAGAAGCAGAGTTGTCCAGAGTATAGAAGTGGAGAGTAAGAGGAGAGGAGAGGAAAGGAGACGATACTCAAGCATCAGTGAGGGCGACACAAGGCGGAGTGGGTGGGATGGGAGAAGTTGGTGTAGAGTTGAGGTGGGTGCGTACGATGGTTTCACCTAAAGCGAGAAAACGGCCTGTCTGGGTCGGTGACATGGCGATTTGCGCTTCCGGCGCCCGTCGCAGCATGCCCTCTCCGTTCCACTGGATCGCAAAAGGTATCTAAAATGAACATTGAATTATGGATTTTACTCTGATCTAGTTTTTATCTTTGAAAATTCCTTCAATCCTTCAGCGATTGCCATGTATGGAGCTGTAGCCTCCGGGTCCGGCTATTTCGCATTGCGCACGCTGTCGCAACCCGGATGCTCATTGCGCCGAGCGTTCTATCAAACCTAACCCGGAAGAACTTCGAGGTAGGACTCGAACGGGGATTGTAAGAGCAATTTTGAATGTTGCTCGACTATGAATCATCATGGGTTGGCGGGCAGCGCGGACTCCGCAAATGGTTATAGCCTGTCCAGGTACGTACCTTGTCGCCTCCCCCTCGGAATGGAAGAGCAAGCCATCCGCATCATCGGACATGAGAGTCATCAAGTACACAAGACCACAGACTACAAGGAGAGATAGAAGGGAAAAAAAGGTCCAATTCGCAAGCCCATATAAGTAGTTACAACTGGCTGTGGTTTTCAGCGTGCGCCTCTTCTGTTCTGCGGCCGAGCGACAGGGCTGTCGCACACCGGTGACATTGGTTGTGCCCATGCGATCCAGCGCACCCTTGTCGCATTGAAAATCCAGTACGCCAAAAACGAATTTTTGAATACCGCGATCGGTTTCCCATGCTTTAAGAGCCCGGGAAGATCTCCAGCGCGGGGAGGAGAGGAGAGGAGAGGAGAGGAGAGGAGAGGAGAGGCATCGGGTGTAGTCGCCCGAGGGGGAACATCAAACGTGGACCGCAGACGGTGTGCAGGGCCGATCATCTTAAGACCTCTCAAAAGTCAAATAAGTTGGGAATTCAGTAGGACCACCATCGCATGACCAAAGTCCGTCACAGCATGTTTCGCATGATCTGCACCGGCTGAGTTTTACCCCTCCTCGGGACCTACGTAAGACCAGAGGAGAAGGAGGGCAAAAAAAAGAGAGAGAGAACTTGAATACTAGTAACTAGGGATTGTGGCAGACGAAGGAGGGGTTAAGAGGTTACAGAGCATTCTCCCTGGAACCTTGCAGACAAGTGTTGCAGGGTCCTCGAATGAAAAGGCGGCGGGGACGAGGAGAAGGAGGGGGTGGGTTTGTTCTACGGAGTGTATAAAGTGTGTTTGTAGGCTTACGGGAGTACGGAGTACACCCTTGATGTGATCGAATTGCGACAAAGCAAGTCAGAACTCTGGAACCGCAACCAAAAAAAGGCCAGAACGGGGTAGGGAACGTGCGCTAGCGAATGGGTTGTCCAGACCGATAGTTGCAAAAATTCACATCCGCCTTCAACTGCTCTCAGCCAACCGATGTGGTGCGCCCCGCCGCCCGCTCGGAGCGGGAAAAACGATGCCCAACTTTGTCGCAATGATGAGCGAGTTCGGATGCGCTTCGGCTGAATCGCAAACCTGCCAGTTGAGAGTCAACTCATACTCATTGGAGCACTGAACACTTACCGCTTCAGCCGGCGGGGTCACGTGGGTCCGCGTGCTAGCGCGTCCGGGGCCACCCGTCAGCCCTAGCGGCGATTGTCGCCGCTCTGGGAGGGTTAGAATAATAAAAACCATCGGGATTGGGTGAGAAGACCTCCGCGACAACATGGATAATTTTTTGTGACTTTCTCACCTCTGGAGTGGTTGATTTAGAGTAAAAATACAAAAATGGCATCGCCGAGGGAGACGTGACCATAAGATGACAACGTCATAGATAAGCCGATAAGCTCGCCAGGGCACGTGGCTGACATAAGCGGGAACAAAGGGTGCAAACACGATGCATAGCGGGCGCGTGTATGCGTTTGGTAAGAATGCTGTCACGTAAAATTACGAGGCTGCCTGGGAGCCGCTTCAAGTTCCAAGCTGTCACTACCAGTGAAGGCTTCGATGTTGAATTGGAAGTGACTATCACTAAAAACAGTAATTCACTAACCTCATCAACTCTTCGCCACTATTCTCTTTGAACCCTGAAACTACCTCCACACTTTTCTCACCCGATCGAAGGGCAGTGTCATACATATAACCCCAGCGACCGTTGTCCACAGTGACAAGGGTGTAACACCCTTACGTGACGGGCTGGCCCCCTTCGAGTGCGAGTGGTGTTTGTTTTGCTGCCCAGAACCAATGACCGCAGGAGGCGGGTCCACCCGGCCCTTTCCATCTGAACAGAGCAAAACATAAACAATTCCAATTCCTCCTCATCATCCTCCTTCACACCCAACCACCCTCTCCTGCCATCGTCTTCTCGGCAAGGACCAGAGATTCAAGATGGATGCGAAGGTATGTGGCTTTTTTTTTTTTTCTCCCTTTGCTCATTCTTTTCATCTTGCTGCCTGCACGTCGTGGTTTCGCGCAATTGTTGCTGGTGGATGTGATGCTTCAACTATGCTATACATCGACTCGTCAATTTCTTGCTACTGCATCAACCGTGCCCAAATGATATCCATGCTAACTCAATCATCTAGCCACAGCGAATTCGTGTCCGCGGGGACGAGAACATCCCACCGTCTTTCCAGGCAGGCAAGGTCATTCACCAGCGCAACAAGTCGACACCTGCCCTCAGCCTCGTCGCCCAGAACGCGAAGAATGGTGCCAGACGAGCATTCGGCGACGTTAGCAACACGAAAGATATGGCTCGAGCCTCTCGCGACGATTCGGCCATCGGTGGTAAACCAAACATTCAGCTGGCTGAAAGCAAGGCCCCCTTGGCTCAGCCCGCCCAACGTCCCATCTCTATCTCCGGCATCAAGGGTCTTCTAAACAATGTAACTGCGAAACCAATAAACCCTGCCGGAAAAGCCCAGCCTGCGAAATCTGCGAAGCGCAGCAATGTCATTTTCCGCGATCAACTCGAACCTGTCACGGAACGCGAATCATCCAAGGAAGTCCCCCAGCCTGCCCGCCGCAGCGCACCACTCGTCGAAACGAAGAGTACCCAGAAGAAAAATATCCAGAAAGAGCAACCAGTGGCTGTCGACGAGCCCGTCGTGTCTGATCTGGAGAAGGTAGAGGTCAATGAGTGGGAGGAAGTTCACAAGCCTTCCGGATCCGACGACACCCTTTCTGACTCTGAAGAGACCAAGGCCTCCTCTCAATATACCAAATACTCCGCACCCACCACACAAACTTCCAACAGCATAGCTACCATCTCCGAGCCTGAGGCAGATGATTGGGAAGATGAAGAGGTCGACTACCTCCCGCCCTATCTCTCACGCGCCGATAATACTACCGGCGGCACAACGACTGTCATCTTCCCCCGTATCACCTCTGTGACCAAACGCCAGATGCTCCAAGCAAAGGGTATTGTGGACAACTCAAGAACGGAAGAAGATATCCTCGAAGACTTCTTCGACTCGAGCATGGTGGCAGAGTACAGCAGTGAGATCTTCTTGCACCTTCGACAGAAAGAGGTATGTGACATGATTCCCTGATCGATTCTGCAGATGCTAACCCCCCTCATAGATCGATATGCTTCCTGTTCCTGATTACATGGCCAACCAAGCCGAGATTCAGTGGTCTATGCGATCTGTCCTCATGGACTGGCTCGTGCAGGTGCACTTTAGATTCGCTTTGCTTCCAGAGACCCTCTTTCTCTGTGTCAACTATATTGATCGGTTTCTTTCGCACAAGATCGTATCGCTCGGTAAATTACAACTGGTCGGTGCGACAGCCATCTTCATTGCTGCAAAATATGAAGAGATCACTGCTCCCTCGGTCCAGGAGATCGTCTACATGGTTGATGGTGGTTATGACGTTGACGAGATCCTAAAGGCCGAGCGCTTCATGCTCTCAATCCTTGATTTCGACCTCGGATGGCCGGGTCCAATGAGCTTCCTCCGTCGCATTAGCAAGGCAGATGACTACGACCTGGAGACTCGAACAGTTGCCAAGTACTTCCTTGAGCTGACCATCATGGATGAGAGATTTGTCTGCACGCCACCGAGCTTTGCTGCCGCCGGCGCTCACTGCCTGGCGCGCCTGATGCTCCAAAAGGGATGCTGGGTATGATAACTCCTTCCCATCACGCTCATCTGACTCCTTGCTTACCCTCTTATCTACAGACACCCGCCCACGCATACTACAGCGGCTACCTCTACGAGCAGCTGCAGCACGTCATGTCGACCATTCTGGAGTGCTGTGAGGACCCCCATCGCCATCACCAGGCGATCTTCGAAAAATACTCTGATCGTCGCTTCAAGCGAGCCTCCCTTTACGTGGAGGCTGAAATCCATCGTGGTTTCAAAATTCCTCATCCAACATCGCTCAAGAACCCTCGCCGTCAGGACGGTACCGAGAATTACTAAACTTTTCCTTTTCTGCAAGCGACACCTTTCCTGATTCTTCGCGTATCACACAACACACTCACTACCCGCTTTTCATATCTCATTTCAAGCATTGCTTTCTGGGTTTAGGGGTGGGTTCCGGAGTGAACAGTGAAACTGGATACCGACTGGCGTTTTTTCTTCTTTGACACATCTTTTCTACCACTACTACCCCTTTTCAAGCCTCACGACATCGGTATGACTTGACGCCATGTGCCGGACGCGAGGAGTCTAATGGTCGGGAGGCGTTTCGTACATGGTCTGCTTTCTCCGGCGTCTTAATTCCCTTTCTTTTCCAGTTTCTCTTCATCGGTGTTTTCTCTTCATCTTTTTTTTTCCCATTCACGATACATACCTCTTTCTTTTGCCGGTGATTTATCTCCGTGACGAAGCATATTCGAATTTCAGTTTTGCCTTCGGGCGCCTACTCTAATCACGGTCCTTTTCTATGTTCGTTCCTTCGATCACTTTCCTTTTTCCAGTCGCGCCATATCGCATGCTCCCACGTACATTGCCCAGGATGTCTTTTCTTGCATATTATCGCTACGTGATTCCTATTACTAGGCAGATATTGCACATGAAGATAGCTTTATACGGGTCAATACAAAGTATGGTTCAGTACACAGCTTTCTTTGTAGGCTGAGCTCCTCTCATGGCTACCAGTGATCATGGTATCAACCTTGGAAAAGCACCCGGCGGGCGTTCCCGATACAATGAATAGTGAATTCGTCTCATGATGAAATGTACTTTGGTCATTTAAGAAAACACTTTTGGCCTGTAGAGGCAATGTGCTAATGCGTTAATCTAGTCTAAAACCAATCATTGATCAAGTCCATTGAACTCGATCAGTCTCTTCACAGCTTCAATCACCTTATCCCCACCGCCATCCGATCCAAGGGCCGGGTTATCAATCCGCGCAGCAAGTGCTTCGTCCAGCATGGTTCGTAGACGGGAGACGAGAACACCGATCCGGGCCCAGCCACGGAGACGGAGCCAGCCATCAACGACGAGACCACGGCCCATTGTGTCGAGAGTTATGGAGCCACAGAATAGGAGCAGAGAGTAGGCGTTGAAAGCTGTCGGGGGTTTGATTAGTGATTGCAAAGCAAGGTTATGAAACAATATGATGAACTTACGAGTGAGATCACGAATGAAGACCTTGCTTGTCGCCATCTTTGTGAAGTAGCTCAGATAGGCCGCTGCACTGGGGTATCCCTGCGCCGAGAAGAGGATAGAGCTAGGGTGAATGAAAACGCGGCCATTCTCCTGGTTAAAGTATTTGATCGTTCGAGCATCCGGGTCAACCTCGACCGTACCAGTCACCGAACTGGCAAACTTCTTATCGGGGAAGGAGATTTGCGCAACTTGCGGCTGGAACGCGCCGGCTACCAGAGCACGGATGAGATTTCGGTTCGAGGCATTGCGGTTCCAGGTCGTGGATGCATCTGTGTAATCTACCGGCAAAATGCCAGCGTCTTTGAGAGATGTGACGAATTGGGCACGATTGGACGAGATGTCACGGAGGGTTTGGTGGGAAAGGAAATTCGATGCGCACCAAGTTTGCGTCCTCCAGTAGCCATTGGCACGCACTAGCTCGGACCAGGACTGGTAGGCCAATAAATCGGTGAGAAGATCGCCATCGCCAGGACGTGAAAAGGCTGCCTTGGCGGCGTCTGCTTCTTCTCGTTTCTCGCGCGGAGAGACGAAGGGACTCTTGACGGTTAAGATCGCGGCGATGGTTAGACAGGGCTCCATGCACCCGAAAATCGAACCGTAGATCATTAGCTTGGCACAGCGAAGATCAGCTGGAATCATGGCGAGGTATCGACCCAGCGCCGTCAGGCTGCTGTGATCCATGGCTCCGATTCTATGCAGGAAGTTGAGGGCACCTTCGACAGCGATGCTTTCTGGGGGAGTTATAGTATTTCCAAGGAACGTGGCGACGTCATCGATGCCCTTCATGGACTTCACAGACAGACACAACTGCTCCAGAGGAACGCGGCGAATCTCAGGATCGGGCCGTTGAGCCATATTCGACTCGGCTTTGCGGGTGTATAGCTTGTAGCAGGTACCGGCACGGACACGACCTGCACGACCGCGACGCTGTTTACAGGCAGCCTGTGATGCCCATACCTCTTGAAGACGGACCATGTTGTCCTTGGGATCATAGCTGGTCTCTTTCACTCGGCCAGTATCAATGACGGCCACAACATCCTCAATTGTAATGGATGTTTCCGCCACATTAGTCGCGGCAATAACCTTCCTTTTTCCTCTCGGCGCACTTTGGAAGACACGCTTTTGCTCAGCTGGTAGCAAAGAGGCATGTAGAGGGAGTGGGTGTGCATTGGGGATTCTCCTTATGTAATTTAGGCATCTTTCGATTTCCATAGTCCCTGGCAGGAAGATGAGAATCCCTCCAGGATTATCGCCAAGTTGGTCATCAATGTATTCAACAGTGGTCGCAATCAAGTCATAGTTGATGCCCATGCCTACGCTTCGCAGAGCTTTGCCCAACGACTCCTGCTCTCGTGGAGCATCGTCCTCAAAGTCATCATCCAACTCGGGGGCGAAGCCCGTGTACCTTAGCACATCATCGAGATAGTAGTCATCGACAGGGAACGTTCGGCCTGGGATATTCACCAGACCGACATTATCATAGCCACCAAAGTAATTTCGGAAGATATCCGCATCCAGTGTAGCACTCATGAGAATGACCTTCAAATCCTTTCGGTAGCGTAGAACATCGCGGAGAAGGGCCAAGAGGAAATCGGTATCCAAACTACGTTCGTGGACTTCGTCAACCACAACGTGAGAGACATCCGCCAAGGAGCTTCCGATGTTGCCATCAGCGTCACCGCCAGACTGGATTCGGCGGAGCAAGACACCAGTGGTCACAAATGTGATCTTAGTGGCACCCTGTTTGGCTTTCGACTCGCCACGGATCACGTATCCAACCTCATCACCCACGGTTGAGCAACGTTCATCACTGACACGATCAGCGAGACCAAGGGCTGAAATCCTTCGAGGCTGAGTGCAGATAATGTTTGCAGCTCCTCCAAGTCCACGCTTGATCATGTCATCCAAGACAAATTGTACAGATTGTGTACTTTTACCGCTACCAGTTTCACCAGAGATAATGGTAACTTGGTTTGAGTTGACGGTTTGGATGATGGCATCTTGGATGTTCCATGCAGGCAACGACTGTCGTTTCCGGGACATATCAATCTGTGCTGTAGTGTCTTGCTTGGCTTCCCATGCATCCCGAATGGCGAGGCTCTGAGGAGAGTTGGCTTTCCAGTCGATACCCTTGCGTTGCTTGCGACCAGATCTTACAGGGATCTCCTTAGTTTCAGCCAACGATGAAGCGGTCACAGCAGAGATCTCTCGTAGTCTGCCAGGATTCTCCATAATATCGGAGAGGTTTACCTCCAACCAGTCCAAAATATTGAAGATCATAGACTCTCCGCTGAAATTATCTTCGGCATACTGCACCGCCCGACGGATCGCGCTGAGTCGAATATAAGCCGGTATACTCTTAGCCTGGATGATTATGACAGGCGGGGTGGTTGGGTAATGGGTAGATGGTTCCTGGAAGCGAATGATGGTGTTTTCTGGAAGCTCGGGGGCTTCGCTCTTGATTTCGCAGACCTTGTCTGAAATTCGGGAATAGCGGTCACCAAAAATAGCTTCCAGGGTCTCCTGTTCCTCATTCCAAGCTTCCGCATCGCCGTCAGGCGTAGAAGCAGACGCGAATGCGGCTCCATGGGCCAATGTGCTTTGCAGATATTCTGCAGCGGCGAGTTCATCGCCCTTCTTACTGTCGAGTACTTGTGAGCAAAGATCAGCCGGGTAACCAACCGAAGCAAGTCTCTTGATCTTCGCTTCACGGGCCAGGTCTCCAGACGCAAGGCTAACACCGGCAGAGTAACCCTCAGGTAAACTCCAGCGCGGCAGATCATCCTCAGGGACATAGACGAGCAGCCACTCCAACACCTCCTCGCGGTCTTTACATTCAGCTGCAGCCTCTTCAACGTGGCTGCGACGGAACCCAAGTTTTGAAAATTCCTCCACAATGGCCTGCACTTCCTTTTGTGGAATCTTCACACCATGAGCGTTCCAGACTGTATGTTGCCGTAAAAGGCCTTCGATATCGCGACGAATACGAGCGCCCATGTCCACTTTCGGGGCTTGTGACCAAATGCGTTTACTCTTTCCATCTCCTGTTCCTAGCCCAATATCGGCGGAAGAGACCTTCTCCTTGGCTTGTGCCTTGAGACGCTCCGCCCTCTTCTTCTCCAGGTCGGCAGCCGCACTCTCGCGTTCTTGCTTGGCTAGGAATGGATCCGCTTCATAAAGCCAGCCTTTGCCCTCCTTTGTGTCTGTCGTCTTGATGTCGGTGAAATCTTCTCGCCATAGCTTCTTGTATGTTGGTGGAAGCATCATGTGTAGGTTGCGCATATTGCAGACACGGAATAGGGCATATGCAGCGGCGAAATGGCGGGCTTCCAGGGCTGTAGTTTGCGTCGCAACTTCTTTATGAGAGGGAGGTACTTTCATCGGTGGGAGAACAGTCAATTCTTTGGTCTTTGGGTCAACCTTTTTGAGGGTGACTGAGGATATGAAGCCATCGCGAGATTGGATCTGCAATATTTATCGCAATATCATTAGCATCTTGGTCACAACAATCGCTCATTGAGCGTCCTAGGTTAGATGAATTATTACCATTCCGTACTCTGGCCTCTCCCATTTTTGTTTCTGACAATGCTCCGACAGCATGTTCACTGGCAGTTTGCCTGTCCATGATGCGCCGCCAATAACCTCCTTCACGGTCGGCTTCTTCGGCTCTTCAGGGGCGGCTGGTGCGGGCTTTTTGTCCGATTTCTCTGAAGCAGCCTTTGCCTGCTTAGTTCCAGGCTTTGGACCGCCTCCGCGGTTGTCTACCTTCTTCTTGGGGCCCATTGTTGGAAGAATGGCACTCGTTCACATTCACCGCAGATGAATTGCTGAAATTCAATGGGCCCGCACTAAACCGCATTGGGATTGCGGGGAGCCAAAGTTGGCGTGCTTGAAGATCGCCGTGTTTCCTTTCGGCGGCTCCTTTACTCCTCCCTTCCCATCCGATTGTCTTCTCTTCTTTACCACATAATATTCCCTAGTGCCCTTTGTTCCCATGTGATTCTCTGGAATTATATCTTTCCCTCATGTCTGACATGGAGCAGACAACTGCGAGCTCCAATCCTGGTCCATCTGAATCGCGGAGTGAAACAGCGGCGAAGAGGAACGCTTGTGAGTTGATCCTCGTGCTGTTTGAGAAGAATTGCTCGACTAAGATTAACAAGCTGTTTTCTCCCCTGTCCAGTTACCGAATTAATGTCCTCCCACAATAAACAACCCAAACACACGGCGCCTACTCCATCCAAAAAGCCCCAATCTTTCAGAGGCCGCGATGGGCTAGGAGCCTACATCACGAACCCAGAGTCTTATCCTTCTGATATCGTGATCTCCCACAACGCAGATTTTGTCGCTATTCATGACATGTTCCCAAAGTCCTCGCTACATTTGCTCCTCCTCCCTCGCGACCAAACCAAAACCCACCTCCACCCCTTCGAAGCCTTCGAGGACACTGAGTTCCTTGCCAAAGTAAGGTTCGAGGCCCAAAAGCTTCGTTCTTTCGCTGCGGCCGAGCTGCGGCGCAAATATGGGAAATACTCTCTACAAGAACAGGAAAGGCAAATCGCTCTCAGTCTTGACCCTCCGCCGGATGAGCTGCCCGTGGGACGGGATTGGGCGAAGGAGCTCATGTGTGGGATCCATGCGGTGCCCTCAATGAACCACCTGCATGTACATGTGATTGCGGTGGATCGCTACAGTGACCGTTTGAAACACCGGAAGCACTATAATAGCTTTGCGACGCCCTTCTTCGTGCCTCTTGACGACTTTCCCTTGGCCCAAGGCGACCCACGGAGGGAACCAACGCGCCAGAATTATTTAAAGGAAGAGTTTACTTGCTGGCGCTGCGGTAAGAAATTTGGTAACAGATTCGTTGAGTTGAAGAGTCATCTGGAGCAGGAATTCTTAGAATGGAGGAAATTATAACCAACGAGTCAAAAGTGTGTCAGACAGCAGTCAACTGCATCTGCAACAAACTGTCCCTGTTTGGGTTGTAATTGTAATTCAAAACTCCCATCAGCCTCTCCAAATGATACCTAGAGAAGCCTTAAAAGAGCGAAACTTAGTTTCATAAATGTACATGCTTGTCTGGATCTAGTAATGAGTCGTATGCATTCTCAGCATACTTCCAATTTTCCCACATTTCAAAACAGCAACAACTCGGTAGGCGTTGAAAGGATAAAGCCCTAGCCTCATAACTCCCCACATTGCTACCTTCACTCTAGAGCTCCGTGTGCATCCATTGTTTACACGCGGGGCTTCTTGCTGCCCTTGACCTTGCGCGCCTCGGGGCGGTTGATGTGGTGGGAGGGGATCCAGTCGGCATTGTAGGTTGTAGCGGAGGCGACGGCGGGGTTGGGGGTCTCCTCAACAACGGGTGTCTCGGGACGCTTCGCGCTGCCAGCGGCACGCTTCTCACCAGTCTTGCCACTCTTACGCTTCTGAGGGAAGTAGGGAGCGACCCAGACGTTGTAGGTAAAGTAGACGGTACCACCAAAGCAAGCCAGGAGGAAGAAGTAGAGGAAGATGCTAGGGATGATCAGTCAATGGCCTAAGAAACCGGATGGGTTTCGGAATTTACGACTTACATTTGGGGATCGAAGATGCTAGTCTCGGGCTCCACGACGCTCACTGTGCCATTGAAGGCCTGAACGGTGAAGAACTTGCCCTCGCTGTCCGATAGAATGGCGGCAATGTTCAGACGAATATCCTGGGGATGCATCTCGGTCGCGAAGCTGTACGGGATGGTCTCCTTCGAACCAGCAGGAATCTCGACGCCATAGCGAGTGGCAGTCAGGTTGCGGACGACCTTGCTGTCCTCCTCAAGATTCCACAGGCTACCTCCGAGGAAGTTCACGGTGACGGGGTTTGCCTCGTCGTTGGTGACGGAGATTAGCGCTTCGGTCGGACGACCATTGATGAGCTTGACGCCAAAGATCTCAGAGGCGGGGAAAGAAGCCTCAGCCGTGACAGCAAGGTTGGCGACCTCAGTTTCCGCGACAGTCTCAGCATCCTGATGAAAATGAAGAGTATTGAGTCAGTCAATTGAGTTCCTTGGGGTCGCGACGAAGAGTCACGCGAATTCAATCTATTAAGCCAATGGGGAAACTCACAGCAGCGAAGCCGGTGCCGACGAAGGCCTGGAGTGAGAGGAGAGCCAGAGAGAGAAATCCGAAACGAGTCATCTTGAGTGCCTGAAGAAAGAACGAGGTGAGGGTAAAGAGGTACACAAGGGTAAGGGTGATCACACGTTGCAATTTAGGTAGGTCCACTTGGCCGGGGAACCCTCTCTGGCACTGCTTATATTTACTCTAGATACTGCATTTTGCTGAGTCACCACTGGAGTATAGGCACGTGACATCCCCCAGATCCGCCAGATCTTAATTCCCATTCATTTGGGGAGAAAGTGAAAGAAAAACTAAGCGGGATATTTACTTAGAGCCCAGATTATATCTAGACTGACTTCAATCACGCTACTTACCTTACATTGGGGCAAATCGAGAGGATGTAGTATCTTGCAGAAGAAGATCGATGACTCAGCAATATGTAGTGCGTAGAGTGAATCTGAGGAGTGTGAATAGCCGCCTCCGATTGGCTGGGGCTGGTTACTAAGCATCCTATCTCGTCGCCCTTTTGAGGATCGATTTTTTTTTTAAAAAAAAAGAGGGTAGGAAGATAAAGCTAAAAGAGGGCCAATCTCCACTTCATCGCCTTAACGGCAGACGCCAAAGCACGCTAAAATTTCCAGCGTGATTCCTTGGATCTTTTTTTCCATTTGCAGGGTTAGACGCCGTGACGATCGCGCAAGCGCCTGATTGCTCTTGGAAACTTTAAGGCACTTTCGTCCTGAAGATCCAACTCTTCTTCACCTTACTTTCCAACCCACTTTTTTTTCCACAACCCACTCATAAAGGTCCAGCGCAATGGATTCAACCTCCTATCTTGATCGATATCGCCATCTAAGCGCTGTTGATCAGCAGAAGAATCAGCTCATCGAGGTACCTGCTGCTGTCGCTCCCTCCCTTCTTTCACATGTGTCAGGCTAACGCGATACCATCATACGATAGGAGCTCCTAAAACGAGTGACCGACCTCGAGAACTCCTTCCAACAAGAGAAACTTGATCATGAACGCGAGACTCGCTTCAATCGTGATATTCAACTTCACGAGATGGAGTTGATGCAACAGATACACCAGATCAAGTCTATTATGGTGAGCGCGGTGGTGAACCAACACCTGAGCGTGCGCTGATACATGTCGGGCTTCTCCAGGATCGAGAACCTTTCGTCGTCGTTTTATTAGATGGAGAGGGAATAATCTTCAAGGATGAATTCCTCCAGCAGGGTGAAGAGGGCGGTCGCAATGCCGCCAAGCAGCTTTACACAGCCCTTCATACCTACGTGACGGCGAACCTCCCGAATATTAAAGTACCTAAGTTATTGACAAAGATTTATTTGAATGTGAGGGTCTTTAGTGAGATGTGCGTTCGGAGTGGTCTGGTTTCAGACCCCTCCGGAATTCACGATTTCATCAGAGGTTTCAATGAGACCATGTCCTTCTCGGAGATCGTGGATATTGGCTCCGGGAAAAACAAGGCTCTCGATAAGATGAAAGGTTTGTGTCCTTGGATCCCATAGGAATTGACCTATGTAAATCCTGCTAATATCATCCTCACGTCCAGAAACCCTCCAAGTCTTCCTTTACAACTGCCATTGCCACCAAATCTTTTTAGGCTGCCCTTCAAATACTGAATACACAAACTTCCTGGAGGATATACTGCAAGAGGGTGATCTCACCGGCCGTATTTCTCTCGTGGAGGGCGTTGCCTTTGAGAAAGAGCTTGAGACAGTCAAGAACTCATATCGCATCGCCAAATTCCCAGAAGTTTTCCGTTCCGTCAAACTGGCGCCTGCTTGGGCTCCCGCGTGGAAGAATACTCATGCCCTACCTTCGCGGTCCCTACTCACTCCATCTCCATCGCGACAGTTCTCAATGCCCCCGCCTTTATCTCGCACTTCAACCAACACCAGTATTTCAGGCGCCGGGGCTCCTTTGACGGCATTGACACCTAACGAAGGGGGTGGATCTCCCGACTTCCAGATTGTTCGCTCCAAGACGGAAACTTCGATCGCCCCTCCCAAAACCGTGGAGAGGAATAAATATGGACAGCGAGTGGATCGTCTCGACTTCAAGAGCATTCCTCGCGATGAACTTAATCGGTTGAAGAAGCTGAAGCTCTGCAATTACCATTTCCTGCTTGGGGAATGCCCCAACGAGGAGAATTGCTATCATGACCACGATCGCAAATTAACCCGTCAAGAACTTCATATTCTGTCGGCTATCGCACGCATGACTCCCTGTCGCTTTGGGCTGGAATGTGACGACCCGGAGTGTATCTACGGCCACCGTTGTCCCCAGAGTGAGCCTGGCAAAAAGACTTGCTTTCGAGGTGACAGCTGTCGCTTTGAACCAGTAGCACACGGCATCGACACGAATATTGTCAAAGTGACAAAGGTTTAGAATCATACGACCTGTCTTTTCCTTCCGTCCGAAAAACAAAATTTCCCTCGTCATGTTGTACTATTTTCGGTCTTTCCAGATTCATGGGGTTTCAAGAGTTGTGTTTTTTTTTATCAATTTCGGCGTGACCGGGTCCTGAGTGTGCTTTCTCTCAAGTTTTGGTGTGGGTTCAGGGCATTGCATCCTCGGCACTCATATTTCTACTTCTCGTTACACAACATATGATTTTACCCCTTGTCCTACCTACGATAAAGTTTGGCACAGGGGAGTTCGCCTGGATTAGGTTTTGATTTATTGTGGGTTCATTGAAACTTTCTGGAATGGATGCTGGCAACTGGGTTTTGTCTTTCGGCGTTTCAATAAAGGCGTCAGGAATTTGATGGAGGTGGGAATACATATTATACCCATCACTGAGAACTTGGCAGTAGTTATGGATGTCCTCAGCTGCTCGGGCCATTCAATCATCTTATTCTAGGAAAATGTATTAGTATCAACTACGATAATTCAACTACACAGACCATGGAGACCATTTTTTGGCCGATCTATCGGCAACACTCCTAAGTAAATTAACATGTCTATTAACTACCACCTGAGAATTAGAGTAGTTGTTGCCTTCCAAAAACGCTGCATCCCGCCGAATCGCTTCATAACAAGCTACTAGTATGTTATCTTATTCTTTGGTTGCTGCTGCAAGTTCAAAGGTTGTCATTTCATTTCAATACGCTGCATTGACGCTACCATCAAATCAATACCAAGGTCAATATAACCGCCAAGCCGATGACTCTCCATAATGGCGCACCGAAGGCAGGGCCCTTCCCCGTTGCTGTACTCCCAGCGCCAGTATATGTCTGAGTGGTATTGGTTTGTACGGTATCACTCCTAGAATCTGAGGTAGTACTGGCCTGAGTCTCGGTTGTAGTGGCAATGCCAACTTGAACATAGTCTGTTGACCGGACGGTAACAGTGTGCACATCTGTGCTATAATTCCAAGTAAAGCTGGCTCCGCTAAGAGGTGTGGATATAACACCATTGGTGTTATAAAGAGTCTCCGTGCCATTTTTTGGAAATTCCCCGGGCTTATAATATTTCTGAACGCCACCGGTATCTTCAACGCCAAACCCTAGATCTCCAACGCAATCATAATCGTCGAAGCTTGATCTGCACGAGCTCCAATCTTCTTCATCCAATAGCCTGCCAAACCAATAGTCGGCGTCAATAGTAGAGGGTTTGGTATTTGGACATGTGTCGTAAAGCCTAGATCGGTTTAGCAATTGTCATCTCAAAGGGTTCTCTGTCTTTTTGGCGAGTGATTGCAGCACGCACGTGGACCTAACAGCACTCTCTGCGCAGCATTGGCATGCCATGACATATTTATCGTAGTCATCAAGATCATCTTCCATGCTGTCAAGATTTGTCGTATTATCTAAACATGCAGTGAGGTGATTTTCGATCTGAAGTTCCTTCTTGCGGACCTTTCCGATGTTACAAGAGCATCCGCCAGGCGCTTTGTCTGGTGGGGGCCAGAAGGGAATATCGTCGAGGTATTCTTTTTGATATAGTGAAATAAAATCTTCGACGATATGTTGGTACTCGCAGGAGTAAACCTAGGTATCAAGATTGAGTTAGATTATCGAAGTGTTGAGTGTGCGAGTACTAACCTGGTTCCAACAGCTAGATGCGATACAATCGATCTGGCTGCCAGCCCTCTCAGCCCCACAAGGAGAAACGCAGCTACCCGGACAGGTTATAGCACATATTTCTTTTCCCCCGCAAGCCTCAGCACATTCGCGACTCTTCTCCTTATTGTCTGGGCATTTTTCGTCGATACAAGTTCCATGGTGCGTCTCAGCCCTATCGAAGCACGTCGTTAGGCCATCCGGATCGGCGCAGGTGGAGATATTATCGAAGTAGCCAAGATTCCTAGCCACGGAAATACGCACTAACACTGCTAGCGAAAGTACAGCGCTTCCGAGCCTCATCCTTATGGGTCGTCTCGATCAGCTCAGAAACGGCATATGAAGGAGAGAGAAGGGGTTGGCAGTGGCCAGCCTCATGAAGGCGGAACTAATCCCCTTGTATAGTCGCCATTATATCGCTAAACCCAACGGAGCTTAGCCGAAGGGTCCAAGAATCCTCCGAAATATTCTTCACTAGGTGTACGCTTCTTGTAGCTTTCTGTTCATATTTTACTCACCACGTCGGTCCCAGTGGCCGTGTATAGTACACTTGCCATTAGACGCGCCGCGATCATTCGGAGATGTCATCTTGTTGGTTAGTGCATTCCAATCTAGTTGGCCTATTGCCATCTATCGAGCGCCCTTTTTCCAAGAGATCTCTATTGGCACAGCCTCCGAATGTGTATTCTAGACCTTCATCCATTATCAGATGTCCAATGATCACTCTTGGGCTTCCCTGTCGAGCTGCTACTGAGGGAATTCATCTGAACCCTAGTCCGCGAGCCCAACACAATCGAGCATTTACACACACGTGCTCAATCAACCCCAGCATGATTCTCTATCGGACTATCCGCTTGTACTCTTCCCAGTCGTACCCCACACTTACTCGCGCATAGGGTCATCTCGACGTTCTCGGTGGATCCACAAGATCTTAAAGTAGTTGACAGGTCTAGTTCCTCCAACCATTCAACGGTGTGGAGCTTCACGCCCCGTTATAGTCTGGATGCAGGAGAGTTTAGCGATGGCGGGGTTGTAAGGCTGGGTTTGGAGCATGTGCTTCTCATTATTGGCAGCCTTGGAGATGTAGATGCCGAGAATAAAGAACGCGCTCCCCTGCCATCGGCATGAAGCCTAGATCCACAGGATAGACGGCGAGGTAGCGGCACTGAGTAGATAGAGTACAGGGATGAAACTTAGACGAGATCAATGAAGGAGAGAATAAACCCCATGCCGTCAGCGGTGATATCAATCATAGTCAAAGCACCGGATTCGTTGTATTGGTTGCTGAGCAAATAATAAGCCTGGACCGCAGTGGTGAAGACGATACTGTCGGAGATGTGTATTGTTGAGCAACAAAGGCCAGATATAGCAGGATTCACCCGGTGTCAAACCGGGACAGACTTCGCATGTCGATTTCCCCGAGGAATAGCAAAGCGACAAGGAATGTAGAAATCAGAATGTACCCCGATATCTTTTGGTCCTTTCCAATTTCGAAGGGAATTACGCCTTGAAGAATCATGCTTTGATTAAGCAAATTTTGGGATACATTTCTGTCAAGCACAGATAGGCACAAACACCACTCACTATGTCAACAAAAAAACGGTAGCAAATCAACAAATAGTTAGATGGCGGTAATAGGGCAAAAAAGTAGTCGCGCCCGGGATCGAACCGGGAACCTTTTCGGTGTGAGCGAAACGTCATAACCATTAGACCACGCGACTTTGGTATATTGAAATTTGCATATTAGCCATCATGAAGCAGAGTTGACCCTAAATCCAATCTTTTCCTACCCTATCAATCCTCTCCCGCTTTTATATATAGGAAATAGTTTAGAGATGCTTGGCTTTGACTGGCCTCCAGGGCTCATAACACTTTTATATCTTAATTCACTAGAGGGCTCAGATAAATTATAGAGTCCTCAGTTTATTATAGGGCAATACAAGGATTGAAAAATAGGAGATGCTCGCTGGCTGTCTGCGCAGGCAGATGGGTCAGTCACAGAGAGAGACAGGGTACATATATTGTGTTCCTATTGTGTAATAAGCAGGGCGATCAAATAGAACTTGAAGTATAGGGAATTAAAGTATTCAGCCTATACATGCGATTCTACAAAAGCTGTATATATATAGCCTTTAAGATTGTGCTGCTACTACTTAAAATTTATAGGATGTATACTCTTTTGTTTAATGAACTTGTTTTCCTGAAAGTTGACACCTTGTTTCTTAGGCTACAGCAAGCTGATCTACTAAAGAATCTGATTTGACGATCTTAACATCCGAACACTCGAGTCAAGAGCTTCAAAATTGTATTAATAATCAAAGTCGCGTGGTCTAATGGTTATGACGTTTCGCTCACACCGAAAAGGTTCCCGGTTCGATCCCGGGCGCGACTACTTTTTAGCCCTCTATTAGTTCCGTTTTGGTAGTTTTTGTAGTGATTTTTGGCCGAGGTCATGAGCAATGGTTTGCAAATAATCTATAGATTGGTGCTGGCCTAGTTTCTGTCATTGGCCTCGTTACTATAACGGTGTTGATGACCTTGTTTGAAACTTTGATAGTTATTTTAGTGTACATGAACTCGAAGTCATGAGTGAATCGTTGTCCCAAACATGGCAAAACGCCTTTCCCAGCCGAAGCAGCCGGGCTGGCTGCACATATCCTCGTCTTCCCGATCAACAGCCATAGCATCGGGATCCTTATGGCTGCATTTCACACCATACTCTTTGATACAACATTTGAAAGGCACAGAGGAGCACTTGACCGGTTGCCATGATTCATCATCGCCAATGGCACTAGAGGTGGATTCTTGTTTGCGTTCTTCAAGATCACCCCAAAGCACGAAAAGTTTCTCTCTTAGTTCATGCAGCCGATCCGGGTTATTACGTAGACTGCAAGAATTTTATTATTTAGCCGGATACTCGGAAGTTTGGATTTTTAGTGGACAAAACTTACTCATCGGCGTCAAGACCCAACAAATAAGTGGCGTCACCCTCAGTGACGAAGATTTGCATAAGTTCTCTGGTTTGCTGTTTTGAGACTGTGGGTTCTGTTCCCTCGACTAGCAAACAGAACCGCCATTCCCAACTGTAATACTTCGGGCTCAAACCATCATCTTCGTCATTTTGGTTATTGAGAGGTTTAAAAGGAACCTGTACCGCAAAGTCTTCCAGAACTGGAGGGTAGAAGTCGACGACACGAAAAACAGGGTGATAGCAAACATTCTGAAAGGGCAGTTTGTAGGTTAAATCCCCTGAAATTTTGTTGATATGGGTTTCGGCAGACAATATTGAATCGACATCCCAAGTAACCGGGATTCCGTATTCGAGGCACTTGACTTTTGAATATATGAGTATGCGTCTTTTGCGAGACTCTAAAACACAAGATTGCTTACCGTTTCGATTTGGTTCTTTTCGCGCGGCTGGTTTTGACAACACTGTCTGACCTTCTTCTCTGCGGACCTCCTGTGTGTTTTGTTGGCTCTTTTTCTGCTTCTCGGCTTTTTTCTCGGTCTTCTCCGAGCTTGTGTTCGGATCACTTTGCACCTTGGGTTTCCCGTGGATCTTCCAGTAGGCTTTGCGACGATCCAGAAGCTCACGTGCGCGTTCGTCGTAGGCGTCTGATATGTTGTGGACATGTATTTTATTTTCAAACCGCTTGTCCCTATGAACAGCGGCCTCGACACCTCCCCTACGGTCATCCTTGACATGTACATATGTGAGATGAACCAGGTTGCCCGTTTTGACGTACTCACGCGCAAAGCTGGCATGGGGCTCCCAGAGTGCGACTTGTAATGTCAATTGGCCCCACGGACCAGGCCAGTTTTTCTTTTTCCGAGACAAGTATCCATAAGCGTCTCCCTCCACGCCATCTTCTTCGTCGTCTTTTTTGATATCCATGAGAGACGTATTAACGGTGTAATCCGTAAGATAGATCAAAGTTTTGTCGCTGTCAAATGTATTCATCTTCACTACCTGGCCGAGTAATTGTGTCAGCCGGCCAACCTGTACATCTTGAATAAGAGTCATTGGCAGGCCTGACGATTTGAGTACAGGAGCTGAAGTTTGAAAGTTGCGAGAAGGCTGTCGTGAAATTGCCGTGGGTTGTACTTGTGCTGGTGTTGGCGTTGGGGATGATTGCAAAGCTGCGGGTGGCTCCTCGCCTGCGAGGTTCGCAAGAAGTATAGCTGCCATTCTTTTCTCCTCTGGATCTGTTTCAAAGGCGATAGGCCCACGGCTAATTGATAAATTCTTGCCAGACCCTTCTTGCGGTCGAAAAACGGCCCAGTAAACCATGTCATTCTGCGAGGCCACGCCGGTTGGCTTGCCCTGAAAGTTGGTAACCTATTGGATGTTGTTGAATCAGTACGCTTCCTTAAAATGATGGAATATGTAGGTGTTGTACCCATCCGGACGGATATAACATACTCGGATATCTCGAAGTAGAACTACATCGTTGAGCTGGATAGTAGGCAGGAAGGCTTCGTTATCATTGAAATACTTGACTTTGAGACCCCCTTGCCAAGTTGGAGCATCGAACTCGCAGTCTTTGATGGTAAATGTGACACCATAGGAAGAACCTCGGGTTTTGAAAGGGTTCAGTGTATCCACTACCACGCCAATAGTGTTGACCCTTCCCCGAGCGGAACATGCGGCGGTGATGCTGACTAGACCAGTCGAGGCCATGATTTAAGGGCTCGGCTTTTTTTTGGAAGACTTGGAATTGTGAGGGAAATGCGCCTCGTCGAAGTGATTTGCCTTTGGCGATAGCAGAGAGTTTTGGATGTATCTCATATGGTAAAATAAGAGACACAGCTGAGCCTTGGCGCCGGTCAATGGAGACCCTTCATTGTCGCGTGGGATAGAATTGATATCCACAAGAGAAAACCTCCAGGGCTCCAGAATAATATTAAATTTGATCAGCAGATAAAACTTCTTTGAGGGATTTGTGCCCTGAAAACAAAGACCGGCGAAAGTGAGAGATGGGCACCCGTCGGAGGAAAGCATCACATGATCACGGCCCCCCCCTCCTTACACACACGAATCCTTTCTTCTCTCCTTCTTCCCCCACATCTCTCCCTCCCTCCCTCTCCCTCTCTCCTCCCCATCCTCAGCGCGCCATTCCCACCCATCATTTTTTTCTCTAAAACTTGATTTCTGAGGCGCGCATATCTTCTAATCGCAAAAATGGCCGAACGTTATATCCCAGAGCACCGCCGGACGCAGTTCAAGGCGAGAAACCAGTTCCGCCCCGATGAGCTCCGCCGCCGCCGTGAAGAACAACAGGTCGAGATTCGGAAGCAGAAGCGTGAGGAGAACATGGCCAAGCGACGTGGTGTCCAAACTAGTGATGGAGGTATCGGTGTTGGTGGTGCTGGCATGGCTGCCGCCACTGAGAGTGATGATGAAGCTAGTGCTATTGAAAGCGAGGTACGTTTTAAGTTTTTTTCTTTTCTTTTTTGTTCTTTAACTTTGATGTTCATTCCCCCCTCCTTCTATCCTTGGTCCTCCGTGGTGAAATATCTACAAGCTTCATATGATTTGAGTGATGATCCCCTGCTCGATGATGGTGCCCACCTGTTCTTTGTTTTTATGATGCGATCATCAACATGGAATTTTTTTCACCGCCCTGTTGCCATGGGGCCGACCCCTCCAACACGGACCAAAATACCCACGACCCCACTACGCGATATTTTGCGAGCCACAATCCGGGAATTACAAACAGCTAACATGATGGATTTTTTAGCTCAACGTCGAGCTTCCCCAAATGGTGAAGGGTGTCTTCTCCGACCAAGTTGAGGAGCAAATTCAGGCCACCACTAAATTCCGCAAATTGCTGTCCAAGGAGCGCAACCCTCCTATCGAGCGTGTTATTGAGACCGGCGTTGTCAGCCGCTTCGTTGAGTTCCTTCGCTCTCCTCACACCCTGGTCCAGTTCGAGTCCGCCTGGGCCTTGACCAACATTGCCTCCGGTTCCGCCCAACAAACTCAGGTCGTCATCGAGGCTGGTGCTGTCCCTATCTTCGTTGAGCTGCTTAGCTCCCCCGAGCCCGATGTCCGCGAGCAGGCTGTGTGGGCCCTTGGTAACATTGCTGGTGACAGCCCTCACTGCCGTGACTTCGTTCTCGGTGCTGGCGCCCTACGCCCCCTGCTCAACCTCATCAACGATGGCCGCAAGCTGAGCATGCTTCGCAACGCTACTTGGACTCTTAGCAACTTCTGCCGTGGCAAGACCCCTCAACCCGACTGGAACACTGTATGTTTTATCATCTACCCACGCCCTTTGATTGGAAACTTATAACTAACTTCGGCCTAGATCGCCCCCGCTCTGCCCGTCCTTGCCAAGCTCATCTACATGCTGGACGACGAGGTCCTGATTGATGCCTGCTGGGCCATCTCCTACCTTTCCGATGGCGCTAACGATAAGATCCAAGCCGTCATCGAGGCCGGCATCCCTCGCCGACTGGTGGAGCTCCTCATGCACGCCTCCACCTCCGTTCAAACTCCCGCCCTCCGCTCCGTGGGCAACATTGTCACCGGTGACGATGTCCAGACCCAGGTCATCATCAACTGCGGTTCTCTCCCCGCCCTGCTCTCGCTCCTGAGCTCCACTAAGGATGGCATCCGCAAGGAGGCTTGCTGGACTATTTCCAACGTCACTGCTGGCAACTCTAGCCAAATCCAGGCCGTCGTTGACGCTGGTATTATTGCCCCTCTGATCAACTTGCTCGCCAACGGCGATTTCAAGACCCGCAAGGAGGCTTGCTGGGCTATCTCCAACGCCACCTCCGGTGGTCTGCAGAAGCCCGATCAGATTCGCTACCTTGTTTCCCAAGGCTGCATCAAGCCCCTCTGTGATCTCCTCGCTTGCCCCGACAACAAGATCATTCAGGTTGCTCTTGACGGTCTTGAGAACATTCTGAAGGTCGGCGATATGGATAAGGAGGCTGGCGAGGGTGAGGCCCGCGTCAACCGCTATGCCCTCTTCATCGAGGAGGCTGGTGGTATGGAGAAGATCCACGATTGCCAGAACAACGCCAACGAGGAGATTTACATGAAGGCGTACAACATCATCGAGAAGTACTTCTCTGATGAGGATGAAGGTGCTGGCGACATCGATGAGCTTGCTCCCCAGCAAACCTCTACCGGATTCGCTCTCGGTGCCGGTCAGCAGCAGCCTGGTGGTTTCAACTTCGCTAACGGCGGTGATTCCATGGATATGTAAAAGGGCTCATTTCCGAATGCTCTGCTCCTTTTTGCTTTCGCCCCCGTCCCATGCCTGGGCCCGCTTCCCGCTCGAGTTGCACAAATTGTACTTTGGACATTACGCGAAGTTGCAAACGCATCTCATGGCACCCAGCGCATCCAATCTCGGCTTCTCCCCTCCGAGTGCGATTCGCTTAGCGTATCGCGGTCTAATAACCGCCCAATCTTTTTTCTTTTCTCCTCCATATTCCCTGTTTGTCGCCTCCACCCTGTCACGATTTTCTCATTTCCCCTCCCCCTTTCTCCGCGCCCATTTTGATTTACGATAAACAAGATTCACCATCATGTAACCCCTCCCCCTTAGCATCCTCATACACAGGCGTATTTGTTTGAAGGATCGGATTTTTCTTTTCTTTCTATGTTAATGTCCCAACCCGATGTTTTATTGGTGCTTCTGGCTGGGGCATTAGGCCCCGAAGGGAGCGACCTTTGTGTCCTGGCATCAAGGAGGATTTCAAGGCAGTACTTATACATCGGGCTTTCTTCCACCCCTCTTAAAATTGACCTGGTCTAACCAAGCACCATCCCTGATCGTTCTTGTCGATCACAATCCACGCGGTAGTTTCTTTCGCAGTTTGCCCTGGAAAAATGTTAAATCTTCTTTGTGAAACGTTCAAGTTGTCACTTTCAAATTGTAGACGTGGAAACCTTGGAATATACTATTTGTCAACCTTAGAAGTATTAATCAACTTGTTTAGTACGTAGTAAGAACCTCGGAACTCGCGCTTGCACATTGAGCCTCACTGCATCATACCCAGCGGAGGCCTATGAGAAAACATTCGCCCCTTTAGTCTAATCAGCCACAGCCATAGCAAAGTCAAGTAAACAGTAGAATGGGAGTAATAAGGAGATAGAAAAAAGGAATAGATAATTTAGACATCAGAAGTAAGGAAATTAGGAAACACGATCAAAGGCTGAAAGGAGCAAAGCCACAAAATCACATATCAGATCACAGGTATCCCACGAGAAAGCAATTAGTCACCCATTATTTCATCTTCATCGGGATCGGGACCACGATTCAAGTCTTCATTGTCATCGTCCACAATCTCGTCCTCAACGAGCTCACGCGCCCGCAGATCCTCCTCGTCATCCTCTTCGATCGGATCATCGTGGTCACCTTCCTGTTCTTCCTCCTCTTCCTCATTGTCATCGACACGCTCAGCCGATTTGATGTTCTTGCTAGGCGCGGCTGGTTTCTCTCCAGCTTGGGCGCTCCGCACGGGTTGCTTCCCCTTGTTGCGGGGTGCACTGCGAGGTTTGCGCTCTTCGAGGTAGGAGAGGACTTCACGGTAGTTTTGACCGAGAGAAGTCTTGTTACGTAGGAGACGCTTCTTCAAGGAGCCGCGCTTCGTACCAGATGCATCGACCACACGACCAATAATAGCGAGGACCAGCTTGCCGGTCAGTTCGCATAGTCGCTGCTCGGCGACGATGCTGCTGCGGAGTCGTTCCATGATAACGGCTTCATCATCTTCTTCTTCATTCTCCTCCTCGTCATCCTCGGGCTCATCTTCGGATGCGGGGGCATCATCCTCAGCAGGTTCGCGATCGTATTTGGCTGTCTTGGCAAAGATTCGCTCGGCAGTGCCGTGGATTTTGGTAATGAGGGCTTGAGTGTCTGAAGGGATTTCGTGTACAAGGCTTTGCGCCTGGAAAATTACATCCTCATCATTGCCAATACCCTGGCCGGCGTTGCGGAGAGTGCTAAATAGCGTTTGAAGGTCCAGGAATGTGGTAGTGGCGGTGAATCGTAAATCGTCGAGGCCGGTCAGCCCGTTCATGATATCCAGGAGTGTTGACGCAAATGTTTCGCGGCTCTTGGTGAGTGCTTCGAAATATGAGGTACTGAAATTGGCTTTTCCTTCGCTCAGGGCTGTAGACAGGGCTTGCACCTTCCACATGAAATAGAAGAGCAGAGTTCGTATACTGTTTGTCACAAGTTCGGCCTCTGCACGAGCAGTATCTTCATCTTCATCTTCTGCTAGGAGGGCACGCTGAGCCAAATGTATGAGTGTGTTGAATGGAGCCTCCCCGTGGTTCTTCTTGGATTTCGAGCGAGAGGTTGGTACTGTCTCCAAGATTGTCGAGCAGTCCATGATGGCGGAGAGTTTAGAAATTCGTGTGATAGTATTGGTGAGGTCGGTAAGTGTTGGATCGGAAATTGAGGCGCCTGCCTGAACCTCTTTCTTGCGAGACAAAGCACCCAGGGTATCGACCATGTCTTCCCACAACTCTTGAATCTTGCCTTCAAGAACCTCTCGCATTTCATCAGAGCTCTTGGCGTGCAAGAAAGCAACGCTAGCCTCAGCCAGGACGTCTTGATCCGAGTGAGTCAGGAACTGCTTATTGATGTCGTTGAGTAGGGATGTGTAGGCCGTCGCATCTTTCTGCATGTCTTGAATCGAGTTCAAATCTACCAGGTGTTCCAGTCGGAGAACAACAGATGCAGCTTCAGGAGCAGAACCAAACTTATTGAGAAGCTGAGGGATGGATTGAGCCAGGTTGTGAGAAATTTCTTCCTGGAGTTCAGGGATCTTCGCAGTCAGTGCCTTGACCTTGCGTCCGCGCTTGTCAATGTCTGACTTGGCGACGTCCAGTACTCGAAGCTTTACTGCCGCACACAAAACCTCAAGAAGAATTGCCTCTTGGCCTTCTTGGATCCTGTACAACTTACGAACAATCCCAGTAGTGTCATCCTCGGCTGGATCATCGGCGATTTGTGAGTGGTCGTAAAGGAGAAAGCCGGCTAATGACTGCCATTGGGAGAGTTCTTCCATATGGGGATAGATAGCTTCGGTTGCGAGAACAAAGCGAGTAGCAGCAGGTGCCCCGGACAGTACATCTCGTGTTGTGGCAATCATATCAGAGTCTTCTTCTTGTACATCGTAGGCTTGGAACATGTCCACAAGACACTTGAATTTAATCCAAGAGCGCTTTGGCGAATCGAAATCGTCGTCATCGTCATCGGCGAAGATCTCGTTAATCTCGTCTCCGACTTCCTCCACCACGGAGTCAAACGCATCTTGGACATTAGCAACAAAGAAATTACCAGCTGCCTTTCTAATCCGAGGGTCCAGATCAAGCACTAATCGCCCGATAGCGTCGACGTCGCTGGGTTCTAGGAAGCCGCCGTCCCGTAAGTGATTTAGAAGTTCAATCGCAGCAACACGGACGTTTAGATCCGCATCCTGGGAGGCAATTTCCACAACACGCTGGCGGAAGCGTTCAGTGAAGGAGTTCAGTGCACCGATGTTGTCTCGACTCTCGTATAATGGCAAGAGCTGGGTCAAGGCAACCAATCGGGCGTGAGGAACGGTATCGGAAATAGCCCAGCCAAGATAACGCAAGGACTGAGCATCAAGGAACATTTCCCGGTAGGAACGAATCCATCGACCCAAAGCCAGCATGCACTCGGCTCTGATATTGCCGTCAACATCACGATGGCGGTGGACAAAGACGGTATCAAATCCATCTTGAATGAACTCATTGAGTTGTTCCACCTTTTGTTCGCCTTCCGTAACAGCCGTCTGAATTGCCTCTACGCGGCCCTTGTTAACGGTCTTCTTTTTCTTCTCACTTTCGAGTTGTTTGCGGGAGGTCGTGACAGTGGTTGTGACTTCCTGTGTAATCTCACACAGTGAAGTTATGACGGACAGGGCCATAACAGTCGCAGTATGCCGGAAAGGTCTGAAGTTAGATGTCGACATCGAAGACATCCAGATCTGGATATTCTCAAGAAGGGCTTCATCGGTGTAAAGGACCGAAGAATGGTGGAAAGTTTGGATGAGTGCGCCGATAAATTCTTCGAGAACGAGTTGAAAAGCCTTGAATTTCTTTTCGTGAGAAATGAGAGGATAGTCGGTGATACCTTCTGCTTGGTATTCGTTTTGGAGGCTTGCGATTTGGTTGGGGGCATTGTCCACATCGTCCACCTCCTCCTTTGTGAGTTCCAAAGTGGCTCCTGTGCAGCGGATGAGGAAGTTGATCAGGTCCCGCATAGCTCCTAAGTTATCACGCTGGTACAGGTTCAACCATTGCGCAGCGGCGGTATCGGCATTGTTACTCTTTCCGAAGATCTCCGCTATTTCCATGTTATTAGAAAGAAACTCACTTCGATGTAGTTGGGAGACATACCATATAATCCATGCTCACCTGCGGCCAAACTGGGTCGGATCTTAGGCATGCGGGGGCGTGAAGCTGGTAGTCGGCCATTGAGGGCAGGCCTGAAAGCGAGTTGTTTCCCCAGTCCATTACCAACAACCTTGGGCTTCTTCGCAGCACGCGGAACTTTCTTCGCCGCGGGTTTCTTTGATCGAGCCTTGCGAGCTGCACGTTTCTTGGCTTTCAGTTCTTCCTCGTCCGCGGCATCATCTTCGCTGGACTCGTCACTCTCTGAATCGGACATATCGTCATCGCCACCAGGTTCCAGTACATCTCCCCGCTTGCGTTTCCCGCCTTCGAGGGCAGAATGTGTGCTTTGCGAAAATGTGTCAGGCCGGCGCGTCATGCGACCCGATTTGCGTCTGTCCTCGCTGGGGGTGCCCGCCGGGGTGCTTGAGTTGTCCAGCTCCATGACGATAGGAATTGTATGATTGGGGATTTGGCGACAGGAATAATGGGAGCGTCGCGTCTGTCGGCCCCGACTGTTGAGCGAAGACGGGGATTGGGAGGTTCGGACGCCAGGTCAAAACGCGCTCCGTGAAACGCGCCGTGCGACGGCAGTAAAAACGAGTCGGCGAATCGACGCGGAGGTAGTGGACCGGACAGGCGGCTTTGATGCAGAGTATCGTGACTCAATGCACAACCAGTCGAATGTCGAACTGTTCAAGTTCCTTGGGAGAAAAGGGAAGGCCGATGGATCGGAGGGCGGGGGTCCCAAGGAAGCGTAAAGTTTACGGAGTCGCGTTTGCGATTCCTGCCTGATTCTGCCTGATTCGTGTCTGCGTGCCTTGCCGCCTTGCTGCCTTAGCCTTGACATTGCTGGCCTCAGGCCAAAATGTCGATTACCCCAGAGCGATCAGATCATCCGGGAGGACAGAGTACAGAGTACAGGGTACAGGGTACAATATAGGTTCACTTGCGCTGATTGAGTTTCTGCCCTGATTACAGTTTGAAAAGCATTGTCCATAGATCGAGTTGACAGCTAAGCGTAAGCCAAGGAGATATAGAATCGTTTAATGCATAGGAATTATCAAGCTGGGTCGACTTGCTCACTCATACAGGTATCACCCAATGGACATATGGAGTACTCGACATAAATGTTCAAGTACAATCCTCATATTAAACTGAGAACTGTCCCCCATACGGATTACAGGGAAGGGGGCACGTAGCAGAGTGTTGCTTTCTTTGTCTTCGACTGGCGATCACGATCATGGGATCATCGCTTGCTAGTCTCTTTTTCCTTCCCGTTGAGGTGACTATTTTTGCAAATTGGCGTCACGAGGGACTTCTTCGAACTATATGTACGCGCTCAACAGAGTTGGGGCAAATTGTGGCGGAGAACCTTGTAAGATCTAGTATCTACGGTGTTGGTATGGTGATTGCTTAGAATATCTCAAAATTCAGAGGGGGAAGAATGAGTCTACGGACTTCAAGGACTCCATACACGCATGTAGAATCGGATCTTGGTCCTCCAAGAGACACTAGTAACCGAGTTCACAGCGATCATCCGCTAAAGCTGCTCCTCGCATCCAACTCCACCTTGTTGTTCACATCCTCCGGAGTGCTCGTACAGCATGAGGAAAATAGCCGAAGTACAGATGCCTAGCACTGCCACGGGATAGGTCATGTATGAGTAGCGATTTCTGAAGATCCCTGAGTGACAGAATGACAGGGGGTGGCAGGGAATGTACTATAGAGGAGCGGACAGGTCTTGGCGGTGGATGAGGATAGTTGTATGCGTATGCATATGCAGTATGCAGTAGAAGAGGACGGAGTAGAATACCAAATAGAATACTCCGTACAGGCAATACCAATGATACGACGATCGGTCATGTGGTGGGTGCCAAGCCCCGCCAGGCCCCGTCCGGAGAGAAGTTGGTCGCAACTGGACCAGTTGCAACGTCCCTGGCCGAGTTACTCTTTGTCATAGAAATCCATTTGGCCTCCTCTTCAATCCACTTCGTCCACCATTGTCCACTTTCTTCGGTCTCACGGAGCCCGTAAACTGCACATGGGGTCAAGCCGCCCCCCGCTTGACACATAGTCGCATCTAGTCCATGGATAGCCGGTCCATTCGCACCTAGGTGGTCGTGCCCATTGACTAATGAATGGCATCATCGCCCCCCCCCCCCAAACTAATTTTATATACCACTCACTGGCTCCCAAGATTCCGGGGTAAAAAAAACTCTCCTGCAAAATACATCATGCTGCAGTCTGCCGAAATCACACCTTACTGAAAGTCACAACTTCCAAGGTTATTGCATGCATACCTGCTTGGCTCTCATTCTTCGTCTCACCCTCGCGCCGTGATAAAGTCCATCCTCTCCCCCCACCTCTCCGCTCTCGTCGGTACTCGTATCGCCCTCCACCGCTTTCATCATAATCTACTCCCTTTCTCTCCGCCTTCCACCTAGAAAAAAGTCACATACACGCCACCATGCGACAACCAGTAATGCCCATCCGCTCGCCCTTTGAGTCTTCAATTGCGAAGCCGGGGCAGGGCAATGTCGTTCTCTCTCTCCTCCCACCGAATAACCCCACTCTCACCACCCTCACCTACAAATACCCATTGAAGCTTGTACCGCGCGCACCAGGCTTCGTCCCCACGCCTGATCCCGCCGCACTTTCCGATTCATGCCCCTCAAGACCAGTCCATCTCTATCTCCTCACCTATGGCGGCGGTCTGCTCCCCGGAGACCACATCGAGGTCTCCATCAAGCTTGAACCCAAGACACGAATGGTAGTAACGACGCCACAAGGAAGCACCAAGATCTTCAAGACCGAAGACAACGGTGTCAGTGTGATCAAAGGTCATCGCAAAAAGATGCCCGCCAACGACCATCTCTCTGATATGAGTCAACAATCACTCGACGTCCGAATTGGCCGCCAGTCCGCTCTCTGCTATCTCCCAGATCCCTCCGTTCCTTACCAAAATAGTCGCTACGCCCAAGTGCAAACATTCACAGTTGACGCTGCGGCTCGAGGTGAGCAGCGTAGCAGTCTGTGCGTTTTGGATTGGGTCACGCAGGGCCGGACCTCGCGTGGTGAGAACTGGAACTTCCGCTTCTGGAAGGGTAGGAATGAAGTTTGGGCTGCCGACGAGAAGACGGGGAAGAGCCGGCTTCTTCTTCGTGACTCTGTCATCCTGGACGATGAACAGGAAGATGAGCTCGCCACGGATGAGTCGGACGATGATCATGAAGACTCAAGCCACGGATTAAATCCTCAACCTGACGGTGGCGATGTTCCACCACAGGCGCAGGCCGGTCTGCTACCATTGAACGTCATCCAAGAAAGAACAAGACCACACGGTGTTGTGGGTACTCTTATCCTGTCAGGTCCAGTCTTCGACAAGCTGGGCTCCTTCCTCATCGAACAATTCACATCACAGCCTCGCATCGGCAGCCGGAATTGGTCATCATCAGCGACATCTTCTGCACCCGAAGATTCGGCCACCGCCAGGGGCGATGTAACCTGGACGGCAGCTCGTGTTCGCGCTGGCTTTGTACTTGTGAAGTTTGGCGCCAAGGACTTTGAGACGGCTAAGCATTGGCTTGGCGGTCTCCTCCGTGAGGAAGGCAGTATTGTGCGAGAATTCGGCGAAGAGGCCCTCTTCTGCCTATAAATTCTCGATGCATTCGCCAATATACCTTCCCCTTGGAATCTCAACTTGTCCTCGCTCTTCCTTTCCGCCAATTTCGGGCTGGTCCTTCAACTCGTCTAGTCAACCTTGCATCTTCAAAGTGCGTCCAGCACATCTGAATCTTGATGATACCCACTGGGCCTTAGGGCCTTGTCTACCTTCTGGAACTCCAGGTTCCCACCTTGATATTTTGTATTCATTATTTTTTTTTTAACATTTTCAGCCTTTTGCATGTAATTGGTCGTTCGGAAGCAACCCTCCAGCAGGGCTCTGCGAAAACGAAACATTATTGGGACTTTAGCATACTGCATCATAACATGACAGTCACCAAAAAAAAGAACAGCCTGACTGCAGAAATGACATTGATTCAAGCGCCATCTTTCAAAAAAATTTGTTTTATCTGTGCTAGTCGTAAAAGTCATGAAATCTATCGCACGAAGTAAAAGGTATCTCAAATGTCAATAAAACGCAAAAGCAAAAGCCAACCGCCCACAACGCCCCGAAAAAACGATCGACATGAATATCATCACTCATATCAATCTATAACTGGATATCACTCAAATCCACCAATCGAAGATCGGTATCTTCCAGTCACCCTTGGTAGCCGTAACCAAGTCATCCACATTGAGAATATCCACGCCCTCCTGGACAAGGATTCTCCAAATATGATTCCGCAAACTGACCGGCCAGCTCGGAACCGACCAGTATCGCACTTTCAACCCATGCCGATGCGCAACCCGGACCTGGTCCCGAATAATGTCCATCTGGCGCTGCGTGAAATGAAAAGGCCAAGGGAACCCGACGGCCTTCTTGAATGAGACAGAGGCGTAGTAGCTATTCGTTATATTGAATGTATTTGGGCGGAGCGTGTCGGGCATGCCAGTGTGGCCTTGTCCAGAGCCAGATGATGAGCCTTCAAGAGGATCTTCGTCGTTGTTGTCCTCGTCAACGAGCTTCTCGAGTGGAGCGTCGAAGAAGATATCTCGATAGGTGGAGTTAGCTGTGACGAGATTGAAAGGCGCATTCCCCGTTCCAACGACAGTGACGGGCCCCGGGATAATCTCATTCCCATTAAAGTAAGTCAGATACCCTCGATCCCGGAGCGGAGCAAGTTCCTCAGCGACAGCAGGCCAAGTCGCCGCGCCGTCCGTTTTGAAGTCGATCAGAAGAACGACCGATTGATTGGGGTCTGCATCGAAGACACCACGGACAGGGGTGTCGAGAATACGACGGAAAGGCGTCGCAGGATTCTGCTGGTTGAGAATCTCAACCAGCGGGTCAATGTATAAGGAGCGTAGAGTTCGGCGCGAGGATAGAGAAGACGTGGTATGACCGACGTACAGCTCTTCATCGAAGAGCCAGACGTCCGCCTCGACGCCTACACAGCCAGCCTGCAGCGCGGAGAAGAGCGGGATCTTGCGCCAGTAGTCATTGTGCGAATGACAGTTGACAGCAATGATTTCGCGTGAGCGATCGGTTGGCCAGTGCGAGGCGTCGCCCTCGATGTGATCGGCGACGCCATGCTTCCAGATACTCGCGGCACGGTCATATTCGTCAGGGAAGAACGACAGAGCAATGCCAAAAGCCAGGGAGATGAATTGAATGACACCGCTATATTTTTTGAAAAAAGGATAAGTTCGGCGATTCTGCAGGAAGAAGAGAGTGAAAAGGGCAGGGATTGGAGCTTGGCTCGGAATTTTACTCACAGCATAACGAAGAAGACGAGCAGAGTGCGCAAACACAAGCGCCAGCAGTATGAGCGATGTGGTTTCAACTTTTCCTTCAAGGGCGGGTTGTCTGATAACAAGGGCCAGGAATGTAGATGATTCTTGCGGAAAGACATCCAACTTGTCAGCTTGCGGCATGTTGACGGCCCCACTTGATCGGGACCTTGTTGATCGCGGGGAACCCCATCGACTTTGCTGGCATTACTCGTATCTTCAGGATGAAGAGTTGGAGAGTCGGTGTATGCTTCGAAAGGAAGGTTGAGGAGATATTCAGATGAATCTCCGGTCTGCATGGACTGCGGTCCATATGAGACCCCCATTATCGGGCGGGGGTGAGAGGGAAAGTTGTGGTGGTGAGAGACAGAGAGACCCTGAGCTGCAGGGGGGAGTGGAAGTATATTAACCACTTATTCTCTCACTGTCAGTCTGGCCCTCTCTCTCTCTCTCTCTTGTTTAACAGTCGAAAATGTACCGGGTTCCTTTTTCTCACGAAAGAAGAGAGAAGTAGCCATGTTGCAGAGAGGCGGTCGGTGATTGGTTTGGGTCGACCGGGGCTCAAATGGGCGTTGGCCAACGGGAGGCCCCATTGCGTCTTATGCTGAGAGATGCGGCAGATATTGGCGAGAGCTTGCAGAAACTCTGTTTAGAGGGGGGTCTAGGTACCTAGGCACGACGAGTGAGCAGCCTCCAACACCGAGGCCGGTTACCCAACGACCTATGACAATTTGATACCAATGGCCAGCAGCGGACGAAATTTGAACAACCAGGCCGATATATAACAAAACAGCAGAGCGAGATGGTACTTTTTCTACCAATAGAGTCGGCAACCGGGGCTGCCACGAGGGAACCGATGAGTGTTCCAACCGATAACAGACCAACAATAAGACCAGACCGGACATTGATGAAGAAAAATTCACCCTGGACAGCATCGAATTCCCCAAAACGGTGCAGAAAGTCATCCATTTCCAAGAAACCCGATATTTGCCCAGTGTCAAAACCAAAAAGCAGGCCTCCCAAGGAAACAAATAGAGTCATAACCCCAGACGCCATTGTAATTCTAGGAACCTTCGTATCGATTGCATCGTCAACTCGGTTTTCTGTTGTGGCTGGGGCATGTTTGGATAAAGACCTGGCACTCGAGTGCTCGGCTTCCAGAATCGATTTGTCGAGATTCGAGGACATCTTTGAGCCCGTGAAAGTATGCAAGCAAGGTTGGAGAGATCAAAGGATGTTCGCAGAAGTAAAGGAAATATGGGGACCGGAAGCAGACTAATTGATGTGCCCTCGGGGGTAGAGCAGATGACCTTTGCAACTTGGGGTTGCGGATGGAGACCTTTGTAAAAGCCACTCTGCTACTACCTACTGAAATATTTTCTAATACTGACCCGGATGAGAGCCGAGATTCATTAAAATATGTGGGTATCTCACGCTGCCGATGTATGCGTGTGTAATCATCGGTACACTGGGAGTGCTATTAGAGGCCCTCCCTACTCATGCCAGGTAACCCAGCGACAATCCATTGACCAGGCTCGGGAGACCTGCCAATTTGCGCATAGGAAATAGGATTGGCCACTCCACGCTCCTTTATATCCATCTCGAGGCTACTATTTTGGGATTATCTAGTCTCTAGGTCAATCGAATGTGGAGAATGGACTTTATTTCCCAATAAGGAATGATTTTGATGCCGGATGCTAGGTACCAACGCAGCATGTGGCCCCAGAGAAAATTTGCCCGGGTAAGAAATCTCGAGTCCCAGAATAACATAAGTTACTCTATGGATTGATGTTTCCAAAACTACGCGGCAAAACTTTTCAATTGAACTAATAACAAATTTTCTCGATGAATTTATATCATGTTGAGATAATGCTCATGACCGCGATAAAGGAATTTGACAAGGGTTACACGAGGTAGAAGATGACCTTATAGCGCTCGAATAACTCGGAACTCTTGAAAGGTCATCAGAAAGCTGACTTATGCAGAGGTAGATATATAGTCACTTTGTGAAGTCGTATTAACAAGTTCGTTACCAGCCGGATCGAATTGTTCCAAGCGATGATCCAATATATGGTCACTATATTTCGGAAGCCATGTAGTCATCAATCTCTCGTTTGTAAGCACCGAGGTATTTGCATTGTAAATTCCGATTCCAGGTGGGAAGCAGATAATGATAGGGAACGAAAAATATACCTGTTGCTGTCAGACTGGTGAATAACTCTTGGCTCACAATGTTTACAATGCGCACCTTGAACTTGTTACCCTCATAGTCAGTGGTAAAAGCTTCAACCTCGAGAGTATGATTGTCATTTATGATGATTGTCTGTGCACTTTGTAGGCATTGAAATGAAGCTTCTGGTACGATCAGCGCATGAGAGAGATCGTACCAACCATCATTACTCGGCATGAGATCTTGTTCTGGAACCTCGAGTTTCTCGTTATAGATCGCTCGGGTTCAAGATCTGGTGGAAGAGGAGATGCGAGAATCATGGGTTTCGACAATATTGAACATGATATTGTTCATTTGAGAACCATTCGCTAATGAAAGCATTTGAATATTGACGTTTATCCTTCTTCCAAAGTCGACAATTGGATTTTTTTATTTCGATTCTGCACAGAAATAGTTCGTTAAAAGCTTTCTCAGCCACCTATCATTTGGAAATATAAGCAAATATTATAAAACAATGATTGTACGTGGCAGACTTACCTGAGTCGCGTGTAATGGATGATTGTTTGGTATCTCACGACAGACTGTGAGGTATTGGTTGACGTATTTTCTCTCCTTCTTGGTGTCGCAAATACATGATTGTAACCCATACTCAATGAAACAGTCCTCTGGGCCAATAAGAGACTCTGGTAGCCACTGTGGAAGTGTGATATCAAACTCGAAACTCGTAGTTGCCAGCGGCAAGCATTCCTGATCCAGAGCCATTGAGCGAATGTAGGGAAGTCCAATTTTGACGTTAAAAAAGCATTTCCTTCCAAGGAAACTTGCCGTGTTGTCGAGGAGTATGAGAATATTTCGAATGCCAGCTGTCAATGATTCAGATGAGCATAAATTTCCAAAGAGGGGTAGTAAATTGCTACTTTATGAAATACCTGCCGTCAAGACGCTTCTTGAATTCTTGAAATTCGGCAGGCTCACTCAGACAGAGTATCACCCTACGCTTCAAGCGACCATATTTCTCGGAGCCATTATTTGGCGGGAGCAAGAGCTTATCATTATCCAATCTGAGCCATTGTTAGGTTGGATCAGAGATCTTGATGCTCCTAGAAAATACCGAATTTGAAAGAGAATAGGATTGAGAGTCGGCTGCACTCCGCGGCCTTTTAGCCATGTCACCATGGTCAGACTCGGACGCAAGTTCAAGTTGCTTGTGAGGAGTGCGTACGTTGAGCGTGAGACTTTCTGCTGAAGCAGCTTAAGGCAATATATTCAAAGGTTCTAAAGGGAAGGGAATGGATAAACCGATACCCACCTTTTTCTGTTCATCTGAAAACCACGAGCCGGGCCCAATTTAGAGCCTTATGGATACAGAAGAACTCGTTAATGATCATACTAGTAGTGACTGTTTCCTGGTTTTTCATTGGTAGTTGTTCCCGACCGAGACCCCATTGATCGCGGAATCGGCCCGGTTAGAAGAGCTCAGCTCGACTTCTCTTTCGAGTGAACCCACGTATAAGCAATCTGGCCGTACCACACCATGCACTAAAGGCTGGGATCCATTTGATTGGTGAAAGTTTTTAAACTAGTTAGGTGAGCTCCCATAGAATCGGTGATTGTTCGAGTTGATGGAGTGGTGCTCCAATTCCTTTGCCCTTTTGGAGTGTTGCCTGTGTGAGAGGTGACGAGGGCAATCTCCAAGATTTTCGGTGTAAATATAATGTGTGGTAACCTCAACAATCATTCTCTCCCTATGCTTTGGAGACTGTCGACGACCAGCAGGACCTCGGCTATGGGGGCGTACTGTAGTGGCATCTCATATCTACATCTAGTTCTTTGGATCGGCTTTTTGATAGATTATGCCATTTTAGAACAATTCCTAATAGCAAGGGTTTAATAAAGATGACTTATAACCCCAAAAATTACTCACTTGACATGTGACCTCCACTTCGATACTGAGTCTCATCGCCGAGGCTGTTGCTTTGTTTGAAGATATGAGGATGGACATATTTTCACTTCAATAAAGGCTCTGGTGCCGTCGTAATTCGGAATTTTGAGAAACTTATCTATCTCAACAATCCAATACTACTTTTGTCCGGGTAACTCGATATTGGTCCATGAGTTGAAAATTCTATATTATTCTAGTGCTTCTAAAGTTCATCCTGCTCCCTCTTTTTCAAGCTTTGTTTTCTTCGCGCTTCCAGAAAACACCTATGTCTGACGATTTGAGAAAAGCTTCTTCAATCTGTGGAAAACTTCGACCTTTTGTTTCATGCATGTAGAAAATGCTGACAATGACAGTTATCACGCAGCATCCGCCAAACAAAAAGTAAGCTCCAAAGCTGCTCTTCGCAAGTAAAATGGGTGTAGTCAAAGCCACGGTAAAGTTGAATACCCAATTGCTCGAATGAGCCAGGGTTGTAGCCGATGCTCTTGTTCGTTGAGGCTGGATCTCTGCGGCATAAACCTTGGCAGTGATACCCCATGTCGCAGAGTAAAGGGCTGCGAAGAGATAGATCGATACAATTACAATCCAGCGACCAACACCGGTGTTTTTGTGAACAGCACCCTCTGCGTAAAGCCCTCCCATTAAGAACATTAGAATCCCCATTCCGATACCGCCAAAGATTATACTCTTTCGTCGGCCCCACTTGTCGGCATAAAGTAAACCGGGGATGGTCACAGCGAAAATAACAAGAGCCGAAACACCAGAAGCCAAGAAACTTGCTTCTGAAGAGGCAAGTCCAGCGTTTTGAAAAAGTTGCGGGGCATACTAACGTTCAGAGTAGCAGTTAGCTATGATAAGTTCATGAGTTCAAAAAGTTTTATATGTAATCAACGTACGTAAAGGATGCCATCAATACCACTCATCTGTTGCATGCCCATCAAAAACACCGCAAGGGCCGTACGGCCCCGAACATCTTCGGAAAATATATCCAAAAGCTTGTCAATGGTTCCACCATTTCCAATTTTCTTCAATCCAGGATAAATCTCCCCCGAGTCCGTCTCTGCTTGGGTTTCAACCTTTTCCCGGTCTGAACGTGCGACGCCCAACCTGTCCCAAGTGAGTTCCGCTTGAGCAGAACGACCCTGGAAGCCAAGCCACTGAGGCGACTCCGGCAGAAAACACAGAGAAAGCAAAGAAAACAACACTGAAAGGGCTGAAAGAAGGACCCATGGAAGGCGCCACGACAAGCTTGACCGAATACTGGAGCATATGTAGCTAACAAAGTATCCCAGAACCAATCCGAGGGTACAGGCTAGCTGGGGACCAGTTGTCAGAGCTCCTCTTTTCTGGATTGGAGAGATTTCACAGATAAAGACGACAAGATTTCCAAGAAAAAGGCCCTCTCCAATACCTTCGATAACGCGGCCAATGATGAACATAGCGAGCGAAGTAGACCCCGCTTCGATAGCAGCTCCGGCACCGAAAATCAGAGTCCCAATAGAGATACTCTTTGGCCGACCGACATGATCTGCAACATAACCGGCGAACAAAGACGAGAGAGCTGCCGGGATCAAAATGCAGGACACGATAAGACCATGTATCGTAGAGCTTTGGGTGCCCCCGAATGCGGCTTTGAAGAAATCCATCTCGGTCACAGGACCGATAGTACCGGTGTCCATTCCGAAAAGTAGGCCATTGGCTGAGCATAGGATACAGCTCAGCAGATAGTTTGGGGGGATCCTGAACCAAATTTTTATCCCAGCCATCATAGCTAATTAGACTTGGGTTATACAGGCGGCGATCTTCGGGTTGCTGTTGGTGTCGGACACAATAAAAAAGGCTCTCTAAGGAGCTTGGAAGGAGGTTTGGAATTAAAGAGAAATGATAAAAGGATCTTGTGCCAACCCATCTGTAAATCGAAAGCCCGCCGAATTTTAGCGAGTTTGCAGAAAATTTCTTCTATCCAGTTGGCATGCATTTCCACCGTGCTGTTGCTCGACACTTGACGCATCTGAGCTAACGACCCAATTTAATTCGACCGTTGACGCGAATTCGAATGGTTCAGATTGGACTGCCACATTCCCAGCAGAAGATAGAGAGCTATTCAACATATCCACACCTTCTGAATCCAGCCTAGAATCTCATTGATCAGTCTCTGGTTGGCCTTCAGCAACATGCGGCACACCGGCCGCGGATGGAGAAAAGCTCGGTGGACGGGCCGGCCGTTCGTGATCCGAAAGATGTCGGCCCGAGTGGGAAAAGAAGCCGACGCTTGAGTCCGAGCCAAGAGAGGTAATATGACTTGCCTCTCCAACCTGGAGCATATCATGGATTTTATGTTGTTTGTCTTGAAATTGGGTGATATTCAAGCCCATGGGTCCAAAAGGGTTTGCGTGGTCATTATCAGCCTTACCAAGTGACCGACATCCTCTCGCATCTTTGAGTCTTTTTATAAGAGGGAAATCATGAGTCTGGGCTGCGAGCAAAGCATATGATTCTTTCGGATTTATTTGTCTGCCAAGGATTATCAGAAATGGTAGCTACTTCTCGATATACTACGCCTCAACACTCACCTTAACTGTTGGATCGAAACGTGGGCTATCCATTTGCGACCAGAGTAGGCCGTTTCTTATGTATATATCAACAAAACAAGTAGGCATGCCAGGATGTGGAGCTATTTGGACACGACTGTGGGATCAATAGTGCACGATCGGCGATCGGCGTAGACCAATGCTAGCTTCTGTCTCGCGTTTCCAATCGTACAGCAATAATGAGTTATCGATAAAATGAGAAGGCGAGAATCTGGATATCCAATCTGAAATAGGCTCAGTTTTCCTCTTTCTTTAGCCAGAAAATTGCTCCCATTATGATCAGCCTTGGTAACTGGAATTTATGAAGATCCTATCTTACGCCATCGGCTTGCCGTGAAATGACCTCTCGGTTCGGAATAGTTTCCGTATTAGGCTCATTCTATTAAGAGAATTTCGACGAGCAAAACGACTAAGGGATTGCTCGTGGCTAACAATTAATTTCTTTTCGTTAACCGAGCGCAGATATGCTCCACTATTAAGCATTTAATGACCGTTAATTATTTTTATTAAGGAAAAAAATCATCGGCTGCGTATATTGCTAGTTGCTGTCACAATGTACGTAGTGAGCAGTGGGTGAGCCAACCACAGTGCGATGGAAAGCACGGGAATTATCCGGAAATTGAGTAAAGTAAGTACTAGTATGTCTTCGGATATCTCGATGGTCAAAGGGAGACAGAAGGGCGAGGAGTAGGGGATGGGAAGATCATCAACAATGGAAAGAAGGAAGAAGGAACAAAGATGTCGGTGGTATTGCTTTACAGGTTCTATTTCCCTTTCGTCTATCATTGTAGGACGGCTGAAGTACATGACTGCACGTCAGATATTGACTCTGAATGATGTTCATATCTCGTCGGAGACATCGTTTAATTATCCCAAAAAGACTCATCTCAAGCCAATTCGGTGATCGAAATCTATCTGGCGGTATAACCACCATCTACAGGCAGACAGACTCCTGTTACCCAGTTCGCATCGTCGCTCGCCAAGACAACAGCCATCTTTGCAATATCATCAGGGAATCCAGGGCCCTTCAAAGGGTGTCGGCGGTTAAGATCGTCCCAAGGGGTACAATTGCTGGTAGTTTCCCTGAATATGGCAGTTTGGGTGTCTAGCGTATGTTAGTACATATGTCTAGAAAGAGGCTAGTATGGGAATAAACAGGGGCAGCTCACATCCAGGGCAGAGTGCATTAGAATGAATATTGTGCGGAGCATAGTCCAAGGCAATCTGTCTTGTGAGTTGACTCACGGCGCCCTTTGATGCACAGTATGAGGCTGTCAAGTATTGATGTCAGTCTTCAATTTGACGGGCTGATGGCAGACTTACTTACGGTTCTCGGGTCCCGCAATCATGCCCATAATTGAAGATATGTTGATAATCCATCCTCGATCACCAGATGAGTGTGGCTCCTGAGCTAGCATCTGTGCAAGTGCATATTTACAGCCAAGGAACACAGATTTAACATTCACTCGCATTGTTAAGTCCCATGTCGATTCATCGGTTAGATGTAGAACAGCTGGACTGCGCGCCTCTACGCTAATTCCCGCATTGTTGACAAGACTATTAAGAAGTGAGTTGAATTCAGGTGGATGGATGGCCGGAGAAGGTATTCTTACATATCGAGTCTTCCATACTCCCGAACTGTGGCCTGTACTAAGTTCTCCATTTGTGCTGCATCACCAACGTCGGTCTGGACAAAAATTGCCTTGCCTCCATTCTGGATAATCAAGGCATGTGTTGTGAATGCGGATTCCTCTCGAGAGCGTGGTGTTACTGTCAAGTCGGCACAAACCAATTTCGCACCCTCTTGGGCGTATCGTAGAGCGATGGCTCGGCCTAGACCAGAAGACGCGCCGGTCACAATGGCCACTTTATTTTGCAGGCGAAGTGATTGCACCATTTTAACTGGGTTTGGAGAAACAGAGATTCATGAAACTGTTGAAGCAATCATGACCTGACAACCAATCCATAAGTACTGTACTAAAAATGGTCCCAGGGGGTGGGGGTTTACTAAGCAGAAAACTATCTTGCTGAGTGATTCATATTCAAGTAATAAACTCGCGGGAGTTGAAGATGGGTGGGTGGGGATTGCAGAGATGGGAATTCATGCCGAGAGTTGCAAGGAAGTTTCGCCTCTGTGGAGTATCCGAACGAAGCTTCTGCTCCATGTGTTTTTAACGGGAAACCGAGCCGATGTGAGTGTTCTAATGATATATTTTGAAGTGGAGGTAGTTGGGTGGCGAAGTCTCGTCTTCTCGGGGACATTGCCATTCCTGGTGACCCGCCTCTCTTCCCCAGTAGCCAGCCACTCTCGAGGCAGAATCACCACCGAAGCCGCCAAATCATCGGTTAATCTTCTTGAAAATCGAGTGTAGAAAACTCTACGGCCCTGGTATCTACCTCACATTAGCCTTTATGGAAACTGGAAAGTATATTTCCCCTTTTTCTTTTTCTAATTAACTCACACCCGGGTCCAGCAGTGGAAGGCCGTTCATCGAAACAAGACAAAAATGCCGCCAGTTCTCTACGTTATTCGCCATGCTCAAGGTGAACACAATGTAAATGTACTTACTTGCGTCTGAATACCCTATGCGTTCGTTCAATATCAGTATTTCTGACATCATTCTAGGACTCGCATCATCTTCGAGACGCCTTGCTTACCGAAGCTGGCAAAGCGCAGTGCAAAGATCTCCAGGAACATTTCCTATTTATGCAAGATGTTCAAGCCCTGATTGCCTCTCCTCTCAGACGCGCTATACAGACCGCCGCTTTTACATTCGCGCCGGAATTAGAAAAGCGCCAATTGCCTATTATCTTAGCCCCCGACGCGCAAGAAATCAGTTTTTTGCCCTGTGACCTTGGTCACGATGCCGATGTTATCAAAATGCAGGCACCGGATTTAATTGCCAAGGCTGTACCTTCATACAATGTCCTGAACTTGGATACGACCCTCGTCGATGAGTCGTGGAACTCAAAAGTGAGCCATATCTTGCAAAAGTCTTTCGGTTATCCTTTTCTAACCCCTGGAATTGGATTCATAGAAAGGAATACAAGCGCCCAACCTAAATGCCGTTCGAAGTAGAGCTGCTAGACTACGCAACTGGATCTATAATCGTCCGGAAAAGTATCTCGCACTTGTCTCTCATGGCGGCTTTTTGCATTACCTCATGGAAGATTGGACTGGTTATGAGGAAGCAAGAGGTATGACAGCACATTAATTAGATCTCCAGTACTATAGCGTAGCTGACTCTGAGCCACCTTACAGGGACTGGGTTTAAAAATTGTGAACACCGAAAACTAGTGTTCACAGAAGATTCTAGCAGTGAAAATTCGCATCTGCAGGAATATGGAAGTATGTTGGGGAAGCAAGAAAGACCCGCTCGTCTTTATTCCCCTGGGTTTGATGAGCTAGAACAAGTCAGAAGTGGGTCCGCTAAAATGGAGCAATCTATGCAAAAGGTATAGGTTAGACTAGAGTCACTTGTAGTCAAAGGAAAGTGAATTAGTTATCCTAATATCATCATATGATACAGACTCACAAATCTCGGAGTGGATCGAACATTCGGCCTTGTGCAATTTGCACTGATTTTGGTGATAAGAAAAGAAAATCAGTCTCCTTGCTAGCTATAGTGCTCCTCGAGTTTAAGTGGTAGGCGAGAATAAGACAGGAGAGACATCTGCGCTATATAAGCTTAGAACCACATTTGTTGTAAATGCTACGATATGAGTTGTTGTATTTCATCTAGCCTAGGAGCTCTTGCGATTTTTTTCGACCTCCTGTTTTTTAAAATTTCATAGCGACTTGATTATTCTATCCCAACAACTATCTCAACGCCAATTCTGCTGTTAGAATACAACTTCCTGACCACTTCACTTGACCACTCTACGATCCTTTAAATGCGGTTCAAAAGGGTTTTACGGCCAATCATCCGATATTGGCTGAGCGGTATTTACTCAAGCCCTAGTACCAAATACCTTGTCATACCCAACAAGTGTCACTCGGTATTTTGCCTTCCCGTTGAAGACTTTCTCGACTGCAGCTTTGCATCCGTCCTCACTAATATCGATTGTTTCAACCCAACTGCAATTGTCAGCTCTGAAATACCCGGCATAATCAAACATGAAAGATGAAACTGACCTCTTAATGTTGAGTTTTGCAGCTAGCTGGAGCATCGCCTGAACTTCCTCTCTGCTTCCAATGTGACTAGCAGAGATTGAACAGCCGTTGCCCATCATATCCTGCGTTCGCAAGGGTGGGAACGCCTTGTCAGAGATTCCAACAGTATGGAAGTTGCCGTTAATAGTCAGGATGCTGAAATAAGCGGAAATGTCGAAGCGATCTGTTGCGTCGGTTGTGTTGAGGATGAAGTCAAAGGTATTCTTGAAAGGCACGTTCCAGTCCTTCCCCTTTGTGCTGATAAAACCCTTGGCACCGAGAGCCTTTGCATCCGCCTCTTTGCCCGGCGAATGCGAAATAGCATAGACATCAGCTCCCATAGCCGCCGCAAACAGAATACCGAAATGGCCGAGGCCGCCACTGTTTGAAACATTAGTAAATCATTCTCTTCTTCATTTGATGCTAGGTTAGAATCACTCACATTCCAACCACTCCAACGGTTTTTCCGGGTCCTATCTTAGCACGCGACAGAGGGCTGTAGGACGTGATACCGGCACAAAGCATAGGCGCTGCAATGCTTGACTCAATGCTGTCTGGAATTGAGAAGACAAAGTATTCATGGGCACGAATGTGACTGGAGTATCCGCCATACGCCATTGAATTGTCAGGGTAGTAGCAGTTGTAGGTGTCTTGAAGATAATAATGAGAAATGGACCCTAGATTATTTTTTGTCAATGGGGCAATGACTTACCAACTTGGTGAGGGCAATAATTCTCATTACCCGACTTGCACACTTTGCATTTGAGGCAGGCGTAAACCTGTGCACCGACACCAACACGATCACCAATTTTGACAGTGGTGGCCTTCTGGCCAAGGGCAACTACTTTTCCGACTACCTCATGTCCTACACATACAGGTAATTTGGCTTGGCCCCAGCCCCCTGTAAGAGTGTGCACATCACTTCCACACACACCGCAAGCTTCAATAGCAATTTCAACATCCCACTCATCAAGAGGCTTGGGCTTGAACTAAACAATTGTTAACGACCATTTATTTTTCTGAATAAAAATTTGGAAGATACGATGATAATATACCTCTTCTTTCCGAAAGTCGCTCCATTTCTCGTGTGAGTTAACCATAAACCCATCAAAAGTATCAGGATAAACCATGTTGATATGGAATGAATTGATATAGTAATCTTTAGTGTTTGCAAAACGGATTGTGGTTAGCTGTCTCTGGGTCGAACTGGAATTTATGTATGCGTCCTATCTTGAACCTGTTCAAGTTCCCGAATGGCCAGCTGAGCCGACTCGGAGGCGAAGCTTCGGGAATATTGCCCAATATGGAACAAAAAGAAACTAAATTCTCCTTGAGGGTAAGTTCTTTCTGATCAGGCCGCGGCTCGTCTTGTGTATCGTATTTCGCCCAGATGACATACGGGTACATACACACCCCTTTCTGGCAGGAGGTAAAGACGGAGTGGGTGGGCCATCCGACATCATACCTTGAGGTGATCATATCGGAAATTTAGCCCGAATTAGAAAATGCGTACGCAAAGGAATTCAGGATGGAATTAGTATCAATACAGCCAACCATCCATTCCGGATAAGTTGGAATCGAATGAATTGCTTCGGCCTATTTTCCGAATCAGGAAGACTGTTGCAGAGCTTATGATGCAGTTCGATTGATCAATATTCACCTATTATGGTATAACATTCCAACCCAGGATCATAAAAGGCCGCTTCTTCCTCAGCATCCTACGAGTTTATGCATTCAATTCTTCGATCATTGCCACCAGCAACATGTCTATCGATACTGATGTGCTGATCATTGGAGCAGGCCCATCCGGTCTAGGTATGGCTGTTCAACTTGTCCGCAACTTTGGGACACGGAACTTCGAAATCATAGAGAAGACCACCGATATTGGTGGGACATGGTTTTTGAACTCGTACCCCGGATGCGGGTGTGATGTTAGCTACTTGACCCCGAATCCTATTTTTGATCCTCTTGATTGACTCAATTTCTCTTAGGTCCCCTCTCACTTTTATTCATATTCATTTGCACCCAATCCTTACTGGTCGCGAAAATTCGCATTGCAACCAGAAATCCATCAATATTTTGACTCTGTCGCTAAGCAATACGACATTCGTCCTCATGTTCGTTTCCATTCCGCTGTTAAACAGGCTGAATATGAGCCTGAAACGGCGACTTGGAGAGTGGTGATTGAGGACGAGAGAACAGGACGACAATTTCAAAAGCGTGCCAGATTCCTTGTTTCAGGCGTCGGAGCTCTATCAGTTCCCAAAACTTGTGATATTCCTGGCTCCGAGAAATTTACGGGTCGTCTTTTTCATTCAGCACGGTGGGATCACAGCTTTGACTACAAGGACAAAGAGGTCGTGTGTATCGGTATGTTCAACCTGTAAGGTTCTAATGGGCAAAGGGGGCAAAGGGTTTCAGCAAAGGGTTTTTGGGGCTAACTAGCATTAGGAAATGGCTGTAGTGCTACCCAATTTGTACCCGCAATGAATACTGGGCCGAACCAAGTCAAGAAGATCACTCAATTTTCCCGTCAGGCTCATTGGCTTTCTGAAAGACCCAACCCTGAATACTCCCACGCATTCAAGTTCTTAATGCGCTGGATTCCTGGTGCTCAACTTCTGTACAGAACATTTCTCTTTGCAATGGCTGAGAAAGACTTTTCGGGCTTTAGAACGGAACAGGGAGAAGCTTTACGCAACAATTGGACATCCATAACGGCGAATTATATCAGGGAAAAATGCCCCGCTAAATACCGCGACTTTTTGGTGCCGAAGAGTATCATCGGATGTAAACGCAGGGTTATGGATACGGACTATCTCGCCTGCCTTCACCAGGAAAATGTTGAGCTTGTCCACAACGATCCCATTGACCATATAACCGAGAGGGGAATCACAACCAAATCGGGCCGAGAGATCTATGCTGATGCAATTGTTCTCGCAAATGGATTTGAGACTCAGAAACCGCTCTTCCCAATGGAAATTCGCGGGCAAAGTGGACAAACAATCGCTGATCACGTAAGTGCATATTTTAACCCCGATTGGGAATCAATATTAATGAGTGGGCAGTGGCAAGAATTTGCAGATGGCTCACCAGAGGCGTACTTCGGTACCTGTCTATCGGGGTTCCCAAACTTTTTCGTCCTGATGGGTCCAAACACCCTTTCTGGACACCTCTCGGTAATCTACACGACGGAATGTCAGATTAATTTCATTATTCGAGTCATTCGACCGATCTTGATGGGGAAAAATCGTTCTTTGCTCCCATCGCTGTTTGGATCCGAGGATCCCCAATCTGTCGCTGTTACCCCATTTGCGGAGCGGAATGATGTGGCCATGGTCGATGACAAGGCGAAACGGCTGGTCTGGGCTTCTGGCTGCAGCTCATGGTTCATTGACTCCAACACCGGGCGAAATACTATCATGTTTCCGGATTGGCAGTTCAAGTTTCATCTCCGCAGCATCTTTATACCGTGGAAAGATCTTGTGTACAAGAAAGCTCCCAAGGGGCCTCCTAAGGAGATAAAAGTGGGCGCTCTTATCCCCGTCCCATTCGCTTCTGCGGGAATACTGGCTATCGGGACCTTATTCGCAGCATCGTATCTTGGGGGTCTTTATTTTCCATCCAAGGTGTCTGGGTTGTCACAACACCTATTCTAGCATATATTACTAGAGAGGTGACTGAAAACGATGCCACCTTCATGCAAAGAGCTTTGAGCCGCATTCCGGCGACAAAAATAGATCATCATGACAAGTGCCTTCTCCAAATTCTGTACAATATGGCTAAAGAAGGAATAACTAGTAGACCGACCAGTGAGGACTGGAGCCATGCTCATCCCGCTCCACGTGATTGCCTTGTTTCCCTTTTTCCCATTCATCTTTGAGCTTGGCAATATGAAACTTAGTTGTCCAGCCAATATCTCGTTCAATTTCAAATAGTAATTCCATGATAGCATTCTGTTCGCCTTCGTCCTGGAAAACCTGGCCGGCAACAAAGAGTGCTTGAACAGAATTGACCCGAAATGAATCTGTCGTTGAATTCGCCAGACTTATGCCGCATATCTCGCGTGCATGATGGATTACCTTTTCCAAGGCATGTCGATATGATCTCAGTCGTGCTGACACTGTTGATCTAAGAGCTGTTGACTCTTGCGGTTCATTCGCCAGTAGCAATATTTTCGCTTGATGATAGCTCTGTATCGTCGCCGCAGCAAGTGGCAAGTCAAACCAGATCTGCTCGAAGGTATTGAAACTCTGCGTCAACTCGAGTCCAGGAATAATAGGGCCAAGCTTTTGTGTTCGACCGCTCGGGAAGAAAGATGGGGGAAGCGAGTCATGCCACTTTTCAAGGTCCGCCATTAGAAGATTCCATCTTTGCAATAAATGTTGCTGTGTCAGTCCAATAGTTAGACGTTGGTCTGGTGGCAGTTTATTGTCCTCAGCAGATAAAGCATCCCCCGCAGTCAGATGATTTGTAATTTTGCCGAGGATCCATGTAAGTTCATTGCTTTTCTTATCCTCTTCAAATCCCAATCCCGATAGATTTTGACTTTCTAGGACATTCAATGGACTATAAGGTAAAATATCACCATTGCAGTCGGTAGCAAGGCCCGCATTCTGCCAAAGATGCATATCTGTTAGGTTCAAGCGAGTCTGAGATTCGCTTATGACTAGACACTGATCAGCAAGTGACTTTGTTTAAATTGAAACAATTTAGACCCACATGCGCATAACAGATCCTGCCTTGCAAGGCTCCAGAAGATCGGTCCCTTGACAGCTGTCTGCGGTATAACAATGGCAGGGTGCTGATTGTCTGAAACAAACAGGGGCAATGCACTTAAATGCGTTCTCCATGCTCTACCGGGTGCGCCCATTAATTCAAAAGTGCAAAGAATCGCGACAGCTGCGAGCATCTCTTCCTTGTCGGTGGGATTATCCAAGTATGATCCCAAGGTCACAATATTTTTCAGGGAATTGAGAGCTTGGTCATAATACATCGCTGAATAATACTTCCACGTTTCTTCATTGCCCCAGACATGTGCAGATGTACGACTTGTGGGAGTTCGAAAATTTTCATCATCGTCAATGTTTGCGTGTTGAGAAAGATGCCGCAGGTGCTTAGCAGACAGGGCACAAATGGCAGACCTCAAAAGTGGCTTTGACGTTGCGAAAACGGGTACCTTTGAGGAGAAGTATGCCGTGGTGTCAAAAAGATCCATCCTTGAGGTCGTTTAGCAGATATCGTCTAAGGTGAGGTTTGTCCATAAATACCATTGGCCAGGTCCTGTTTTGAAATGCCGCAAGAGATGAGATGCAACAACTTTCTCGGATCCAAGAATATCGCCCTGGGGGCGAGGGCAGAAGATGGAACCTTCTTCCGCCGCTGAGTCGTTCAGTGCGATATAGGCAGGATGTATTTCGAATGAAGCATGAGGTAGTCTCGCGGGCGTCGCATTGTCTCTGAGCACGTCGGTTCCAGCAGCAGTCGCCGGGCTATTATGTAAACTACTCGATTCTCCATTGGAGATCGCCTGTTCACTTGGTAAAAGTCTTGGCGATTCCGTATTTGTCAGATCTTCGTGAACAAACGTGACTATAAGATATAAGTGAGTGAGTGAAAATTGATACTCGAAGAAGATACGCACGGTCACTTGGAACTTCTACCCAGGTGGTGTTATCTCTGGGTTCAGAATGCCGCCTTTGCCTCTTGCTGCTCCTGTACTTGCGCTTTTGAGCGGAGGGACCAACCTCTTGGCTACGAAAAATAGATAGGCTCCCGTAGGTACAATCACGAGAGGCTTTTGAGCAGTTTCCGCACTCTGGTTTAGACTCGTCGAATTTCAACTTCCGTCGCTTGCAAGTCAAGCTACGATAGTGATGTTAGAATTTGTGGTAGGAGAAGGAATGTTAATCGACACACCAGCCGGAATAAGATCGCATGCCCAGTAGGAGTATGGTTGAAAGGACTGTGGCTTATTGTCGGGATAGTCTGAGGAAAAGGCAGTCGCGGTGAGATCGCAGTGCAAAACACTTAAGGGTGGCGTTACACTTCTCCCTTCATCACGTGATCCTTCACGTCGAGTAATGTTCTCAGTCAACAGCATTCATATAGGCCCGTAGATGCTTTTTTTTAGAGATACAGGGAATATTTTCATTGGATAATGTCTCATGAGGCTCGTCTCAAGGACCTATACAAAAGCCAACGCTCGCCTTCGGCCACCACTGGCGCATGGGTTGGCATTTTACAGTACACCCACAGTCACCTGGTATTTTACCGGGTAATTGCAAGTTTATATGACCTTGTATATCACTTGTTTGACTTTCAGTGACAATTTTATGCTTTTTCGTTATCGATAGAAGTCTTTCATCTTAAAGCTAAAGATAACATGTTAACTGTCGTCATTTAAACTAGTTTCATATTTTCTGCGCATCAAACTGAAGTTTCCGATCACCCGATGGTCTAGAAAAATCGGTGTCAAGTTCGAATAGGTTCTTGATTCACACATTTTCTCTGTAGAAATGGAGTCTTGTCGTGGACATGGCGTGTTGAATACATACATCTCTGTAGCTTCGTACCGAGGGAGTAACCCAGCCGACCATGTAAGTACTAAAAAGGAAATGTACCCGATCCAATCAGGTACGCCGGAGCGCTCCCCACATTATATCGAGTCAGTCCCTACCTGGCCTGCCCAATGCGTCAAAATCGAGAACCAGCACTTGGCTCGCTAAATCTCTGGCCTTTGATCTCTGTAAGAAATAGTATACTAAGACAGACTAGACTTATTATTCCTAGGAGCTCACAGACTTCAGCCAGTATTTTATAGGATAATGAGGTAAGCTGCTCAGTGTTCTTACTCCTAGAAGGTAGTATTACCACGTAATTTTGCAGATGTTTGTAATGCGTAACTTGTTTTGATAGAGTATTTAAGCGTTCTAAAAATAGAGAGAAACTTTTGTGAGGGTATGTAGCGTGCTGTGTTTTATTGGGGTGCTTGAGTCAGACCGCTGGCTCTCATATAAGTAATACTCAGAGAGCAAACCAGAGTGATCAGAGAGCAAACCAGAACAGTCACGTGATGATCACTGATCCGCTCAGCGTGCTCAGAGACGTGCTCAGATCTACTCAGTGGGCAAAAGCAGCGCTCACTGAACACCAAAACAGAAAGGGAAAGCAAAGACTTTGCATAGGAAATCCGTTACGTAGGTAGGCAGAGCCGACTAGGGTCGTACTAGTATTCCAAGGTTATTTAATTTAATTTGTGAAATTTTGGTGAGTACTAGTAAAATAGGAAATATCCGCAGATCAATTCGATAGCGCTTATATACAACGAATGCAATGGTCCCAAACACCCACGGATCGATCACTATCATCATGGACCCGTTGCTTTTGTTCTTCCTTCTTCCGTTGGTTAACACATGATCAAGAGAAAAATAAAATAGTAACATGAAACTTGAACAATCTACTCCTCCTGCAGAGACTTGACGTAGGCCGCTGCCCGCGCCTTGGTCTCCTCCACCATCTTCTCGTCCCCGCCCTCCGCCACAAGCTTCTCCTCAAATGCGAGCCACTTCTTGAACAGGAACTTGGCCTGCTTGGGCTTCAACTTCTTGCTAGCATCCACGCTGACAGAGCCCTTCTTGTGCGAAAGGCCGAGCACGCGCTCGAACAGACGGCGCACCTGCTCCGCATCGCCGTTCTTGATCTCCAAATCCAGTAGGACGTTCCACAGGTCCATGCGCTTGGGGAATGAAGAGAGAAGGCCCTCAAAGACTGTGCGACCCCGCTCAATGTCACCATTGGCGGAGCGGAATTCCAGTTGTCCGAACTTGGAGGTCGTCTCAATGTGGGTGTGCGTCGGGAGAGACTGCAGCGCACGGGAAAGAAGTCCGCGACCGCGGTCGGCGTTGGCCAGAGTGTCAAACAGGAAGCTGGCGTAGTTCAAGAAGAAGGATGGGGATTGGTTCGAGATCTTCTTCTTCATAGCAGTTCGGAAAAGGTCATCCGCTTTCTGTAGTCAAATAGTTAGGGAAAAAAAACCTTCCACGGAGAAAATAGAAGATAAGGTTGGAATATAACATACCTCGTTCTTGCCGGAACTGATATAAATGCTTGCCATCTTGTCATAAATGACTTGCGGTTCCTGGTACTGGCACGCACGGTTGAACACTTCCTCAAGGGTATCGTCGTTGCCGTAGGTGTTCTCCAAGTTCAGCAAGGCGATCCAAATGTTCAGCTTCTCAGAGTCCTGGTTCATGGAAATGGTGCGCAGAGCGCGCTCAGCGACAGTGCGGGCCTTATCAACTTCGCCCAGCTCCAGCTGGAACGCCATGTATTGCAGCCACAGCAGCGATGAGTCGGGCTCACCCATAAGAAGACGCTCGTAGTCGGCAACGGTTTGAGGTCCGTTAGCATCAAGCTCGCCAGTGCGGTCAACCTGGATCTCGGGCTTGCGGCTCTTCTTCTTTTTCTTCTTGGAGTCCTCATCATCGCTGTCCACCTCGGCGGCCGCATCCTTGGCCTGGACATTGCCACTCCAGTCGAAGCCACCGGTACCAAGACCGCCAACCTTGGAAGGCTTGGTGGACTCATCCTCGTCATCACTGTCCTCTTCTTCTTCCTCTTCCTCCTCGTCGCTACCTTCCTCAACATCGACGCCTCCCATAGAGACATCATCATCGTCACTGTCGCCCTCCAGCTCAACGCCACCAATACCCTCACTGAGCTCCTCATCCTCGCTCTCATCTTGCTCATCCTGGAAGTGAGAAGCCTTGAGAGAGAAGGAGATCTTCTTTGAGGCTTGATCGATCTTGATGATCTTGGCCTTGACAGCATCGCCTTCATCGTAAAGTTTGCGAGCATCCTCGATGCGCTTATCGGCCATCTCGCTGCGGTGGCAAAGACCACTGACGTTGGCCGACTTGTCAATGACAATGAAGGCACCGAACTCCTCAACCTTGCGGATCTTACCAGTCACAATCTCACCAACCTTAAGGTCCTGCAGCTTGACGGGGGCCTTGTAGTTGGGGTCAAGGATGGAGTCCTTCAGACTGATCTGCAACTTGTTCTGAGCCGCATCAACCATGGTGACTCGGCCCTTGACGAGCTGGTCCTGCTGGAAAGAATCCTTCCACTCCTTGAGATATGAGTCGGACAGGTCGGAAACACGGACGTATGCAGTCACATCGTGGCCGACAGTCACGAATAGGCCAGCGTCGGCAACGCGCTTGACGAAACCGCGGACGACATCGTTGGGCTTGATATCCTTGAGGGAAGTGATCTCACGGTCCTGCACAGGCAGCGAGGAGCTCAGAACCTTAGAGGGCCGGAGAGACAGGTGAATCTTCTTGTTGGCCTTATCAACAGCGACAACGTAGGCACGGAGAACCTCGTTCTTGCGATACAGAGTTGGGTTGGCCTTTGAGTAGTCATCAGCCATGTCGATAAGGTTGACTGCTGCGACGAGGGCCTCGCCGAGCTGCATGATGATCTGCTTTTCGGTGATCTTGGTGACACGGCCGGGAAGGATCATGCCAGGAGCGACATCGCCGAACGAGAGCTTATCGAAGCCTTGCTTAGCAGACAGATCCAGGTGACCCTTGTCGGCATTGACCGCAGTGACCTGGACCTTCAAGGCAGATCCAATGGGGAAGTTCTTTTCCACGTCGGTAAGAAGAGACAGATCATCCGAAGCATCCATGAAGCGCAGACGACCGCGCACGCTGGGAGACAGGTTAACCCAGATGCAGTCGTCGGCGATGTTGTTGACGAAACCCATCCAAGACGATCCGATCTGGACCTGCTCGATGTTCAACGGGGCGGGGTTTGCAGCCTTGAGGAAGCTAGGCTTCAGAGACAGCTCGTACACGGGGTACTTGCCGCTGCGGTGGGAAATGGGCAGGAACTTGTGGCTGCGGGCATCGTGGATACCGAGGATTCTAGCAGAGATGACCTGCTTGGCCTTGAAGAACCGCAGGGGCTGCTTTCGGTCCTTGAGGTCTTCCCACTTATCGAAGATCTCAGACACGTCAATTCGTCCTTGGATGTTATCCGCCAGCTGCACATTGACTTGGGTGGACTTGATAGAAACAACCTTGCACTGGACAATGCGGCCGAATGTGAAGTCAGACATGGTCTTGATATTCTCATCAACGGCGTTGGCAACGGGATCATCGGTCTGCTTAAGAGTCTTCTCCTTCTTCTCCTTGGGACCGGTGGTCTCGGAGTCCTTCTGGCTCAGGATGAAGCGCTGCAAGTCCACATCAACTGAGTTGACTGTGACCGAAATGACCTGTCCCTTGGACACGCCGAACTGAGGCTGAGACAGGTTTGCCTCTTCGATAAGACGCTTGGGAAGGAGACCAGTGAGGCCACCGAGGAACTCAACGAACAAACCATCGGGGGTGATGTTACGGATGAAGCCAGTAACAGCGCTGGCCTCTTGCACATCCTCGAACTTAGTGGGAATAGACTTCTGCTTCACAGCCTTCTTCAAAATGGCGCGGCTGGAAACTCGGATGAGACGATGCGCACGTTGGATGTCGAGAACCAAGAGGTCGTTCAGCTTTTGGCCGACACGGATCTTGCTGAGAGTGGAGTTTTGCTTGGATGAGGATCCATCAATGATGTGCTGGACATCGAGACGGGCCACCAGGCCGGACTCGTCCAGCTTGAGAAGAAGGTCATCGTTAGACTTCTCGAATACAGTTCCGCTGACAAGCAGCCCAGGGTGCATGTCCTCGAAGGCCTTGCGATACTTCTCAGTGAATGTCGAGGGATCCTTGCAAGAAACAGCAAGTCTGCCCTGAGAAGCGTCGACGCTCAAAGCGTGGACATTGACGACCTGTCCGAGGCGGAAATGCTGGGCCGGGTCCTTGATATAAGCCTCGCTCATCTCAGACACAGGAAGGAAGCCGCGAACATCGCCGTAGAACTGAACAAC